TGGTCTATGTGTATAATGACTATCATAGTATATCTACTGTCAACAATTCCAAATAAATTGTTAAGCAATTAAAATAAAAATCTTACTAAATTATTGAGCCATATTGGATTAAAGTCAGATATAATGATTTCTTTTTAATTTCTCAGTTTTGGCAGTTAGACCCACTAAGCTTTCTGAAGTATTTATTTATTTATTTAGTGGTACTGTGGTTTGAACTCAAGAGCTTCATGCTTACTAGGCAGGTGCTCTATCACTTAATCCATACTCCTAGCCCTTCACTTGTTCTTGAGAATACTTTACTATATAGTTAACATGATTTGCAAGGGATAGGGGCATAGGAAAACAGTCATATTTCTGCTGTTAAGAGTCTTTGTTTAAATTCATTATGACTGTTCTTGACTTACAAACATTCAGAGTGGCTGTCAAAATCAGTTTCCACTAACTTCGCGTCCTGTTGTCTAGATGGGAGTGAGATTCTTTCCGGAGAACAGTGAAGGTGAAATAGGGAATGGACTTGTTGAAAATAATGACTCATTCCCATTGAGAGGTACTTTCTTTAGCTCCTAAAACATAGAGAACAACAAAGCCCAATTCAGATTACTCCATAAGTAATTACCTTGAGACTCTTAGTTTGTGAATAAAAATTTTCTAGCTCTTAGCTTCTAGTGTTTTCCTTATTTATAAATAAATATGACATTAAAGTCTCTTGTTGACCTAATAGAACTACAAATTTATTTTGAACACAATATTGTTTTTATGTGTTTCTACTTAAGTCATTGTTTGTTTGTTTATTTATTTATGTGGTACTGGAGTTTGAACTCAGGGCCTACACCTTGAGCCACTCCACCAGGCCTTTTTTGTGATGGGTTTTTTTGAGATAGGGTATATCAGGCTATTTGCTGGGGCTGGCTTTGAACCTCAAGCTTCCTGATCTCTGCGTAGCTAGGATTACAGGTGTGAGCCACTGGCACCCAGCTGTTCATTAGGTTTTGTTTTGTTTTGCTTTCAATAACTAATTACTACCCTGTAGCCATTTCTCTTTTGGAAAAGGTTTGACCTTTTCTTTTTAAGTAACTGGATAATACTTAATCTTAACTACCAACAGGTTGTTAGTTCCTTGATCACAACAGCCAGCAAAAGTTCCTTTTGATTATAATGAAAGGTTTCTCTCCAAAATTGGATTGAAAGGTCGTAAGGGATGGATGACCTTTTCCAGTGGTAGAAATATTGATTCTTAATAGATTTAGAATAGTTTGCTGAACTCTGAGTATTAAACAGCAATAGCATGAATACTAGTTCTTTCCTAACAAAGCTCAGATATTTGCACTGAGATTGAATTTTGTCTTATGTAGCTTAATATTATTCATAAGGTTTGTCTTGGCTCTCCTGCCAGGAAGCCAAGCCAAGGTGGCTCAAGTAGGCTACCATTTCCTCTGGAAAACTGATTGATGATTGGGAAGATAAAAAAGTACAGTCAGTTCTCTCCTGTGACCTAAATCAGGAAGGAGATGACCTCCCTACTGAAACTATCTTTTTGGATAAATTCTTCTAGAGTACCATTCTCTTCTTGTCTTCTTCCCTCCTTGTGCTGCTTTTGTGCAAAAGGGTCTTTGGAACCTGGCTTTGCCTGTGTCCTTTACTGAGTGAGGTCCAATCATACTACATTTTACTTGAATTAAATGATCTCAGAATTTCATCAAATTTATATAGATTGTTGAGGGAAAGAGCTCCTGGTCTTGTATGAACTATGGACATAATACAAGTTCTCTCACTTTTATCTTTGATTTGGGAATTATAATAGCATCTTCCTTGAAAGGCTAGTGGGAGGTATGTGCCCTGATATTTGTATGTGCCTACCCTGTTGCATATATTGGTGTATTCTTGGCTGTTGGCCCTTAAAGAATCAATTCATATCACTCAAGGTTGGTGGAGTGGTTCAAGTAGTAATGTGCCTGCCTAGTAAGCATGAGGGTCCTGAGTTAAACCCCCAGTACCACACACACACAAAAAAAGTTCACATTACTCAACTGTCAGTTTTATGAAGTGCTTCACATTATCTCTTCTCACCAGAGCTCAACTCCACTGGGATATTCTGAGTTGGTCATTAGCAGATTTGTAGTTATCAGTAAATTTTTTTACTTCAGCAGAGCCATGGTGTTATCTGTAAGTGGACTCTATCTCATTTAATTCTGAGACTTTGTTGTGACTACTAGTGCTATTGGGATCAAAGAATGAGACTAAGTACAGTGTTAAAATTTCTTGACCTTCCTGAGGAAACAGCAGAATTCATTTTGAAAGTCCACAGGTTAAAGACATAATGTTATTAAGTAAATCACCATTATTGAGTGGCCACCCTTTGTCTAGTTCATTTATAGCATCTGTGGATCTGACAGGGGCAACCTGATCCTTGTTCTTAGCTTAAAGACCCCCACTTAAGCCATCTGTGGTGATAAGGAAAGTGGGTGCTAGATATGGCCAAGGACACCTGTAGGTTTCTTGGACAGCTCAGTACTTTTGCTCTTGGTTGATGGCCACTGCATAATAAGACAAGGATGGGACATGACTCAAGTAGCTCTGGGTTCAAGCAGAACAACAACAACAAAAGCCATTTAGAAGCCAGGCAAAATGCAGTGTGTGTTGTTGGGCATAGTTGCATGTGCCTGTAACCAGCACTTGGGAGGCTAAGGCAGGAGGACTGTGAGTTTGGGGGAAACCTGGGCTACATACAAAGCAAGTTGCTGTCTCAAATAAATAAATAAGTCTCGAGGCATGGCCCGAGCTGTAAGAGCATCTGCCTAGCCAGTGTGAGGCCCTGAGTTCAAACCTCAGTGCTGCAAACAAACAAAAATAAATAAATAAATAAAAGCAATGGTTATAAGGTTGATTGTAGACAAAAACAACATTTAAGCGATTGCTAAAATTTAAATCAAATGTCTGGTGTTGGGGTTTGAGCTCGGCCTCATGTTTGCTACACCCTTTTTGCTGTGATTATTTTGGAATAGGATCTTGCTTTTTGTACAGGCTGGTCTGGATCCTCTTATCATATTTTGTACTTCTCACAGTTGCTGGGGTGGCAGTTGTGTACCAGCATGCCGAGCTTTTTTTCTCTTGAGATGGGATCTTGCAGACTTTTTGCCTGAACTGGCCTGGAACCTCTGTCCCTCCCCATCTCAGCCTCCCATGTAGCTTGGGGTGACAGTTGTGAGCCACTGGCACCTGACTAGGTCTCTGTTTTGATTTTGCGATAGTGTTCTTTTGAAATTGTTTTGTTATGTTCACAGTTAGAAGCTGTCATTCAGGAAACCTAGGCCTAAAGTCTCCATGGGTCTTAAAAAGAAAACACTTCGGCACCATGCATGAGTCAGATGCCTTCTTACCTTTCATGGAAGGGAAATGAGAACCCCTGCCCCAAGTAAAGTAAGCTGTCTTGAGTCCTTGATTTTCTCCAGATGTACTTATACTGTGGGACAGGAAGGCTCTCACTGATTGCACAGCCTTTGATACTTATTGTGCTCTGGGATGTTCCCTATTTAACCTTCTTTCAAGGGATGACTTGAGCTCTAGGGGATCACATATTGGTTTTTGTGTCTTTTCCCCTGAAATTCTTTTCTCTCTTCTCTCTCCCCTCTCCTTTCCCTTCTCTTCTCCCTCTCTTGTCTCCATCTCAGTCTTGTCTCCTTCTCCCTCTCTTTTAGATACATTGGAACTTTTGTAACTTGCCAATTAATACAATATTAGTATTACTGCCATAACATATAGCTACTATCTTGTTATTTTTTAGATAGGTTCGCAATTTTTAAGTGTAAAGTGGGATAGTTTATTGAGATAGAAAAGAGTAAAGTGGGAGACTAGAGCCCCCAGAGATGAGGAGGTCCCAAGAGAAGGTACCCCCAAGATCTTACCTACACCTCCTGTGTTAGCTAGGATGATAGGCATGTGCCACCACACCTACCTTCTTTTGTTAAGATAGGGTCTTTATAACTTTTTGCCTGTGCTGGCCTTAAACTCACAATCCTCCCTATCTCTTCCTCCCAAATGGCTGTGATAACAGGTATGCACCACTATGCTTGCTACCTGTTTCTTTAACCTATTATTGAAATGTCATCTTCTTTCTACATCTATGAATATAACATCCTTTTCAGTAACTACATAGTTATACATTGCATGGATCTATTATTTGTCAGGGTCATTTTTGTTGGACATTTAGGTTATTTTCTAATATTTTGCTATTGTAAATAATTTGGCAGTAGCTGTGTCTTCTATTATTTCCTCAGCAGGAATTCACAGAAGTAAAATTGGTAGGTCTTTTGAGACTCTTTGAGAGCCAGTACCATGTCCTTTAAATATGGCTATAAGGCTGCCCACAGATTTTTTAACTGTTTTTGCAGTTATGGCTTGGATGCTGAGAGTTCATGGATTGGGTATTTTTGTTTTGTTTTTCTCTGTTGGCAGTATTGGGGGTTGCACTAAGGGCCTTGTGCTTGCCAGGCAAGTGCTTATGACTTGATCCATGCTCTCAGCCCTCAACAGGGTTTGGGTTGTTTGTTTGTTTGTTTTGTTTTGTTTTGTTTTTGCAGAGTTTTTACAAGAAAGTTGAGGCCTCCAAGTACAATTCCTCACTAGATGTGTGCTTTGTGTATATGACTTCCTGTGGCAGTGCAAAGAAACATACGCCACATTAAGGAATCCAGAGTTCTTTTGTTCATGTTGAATGCCAGGTTGTTATTTATTGTAGAAGGAGTAGTTTGCTTAAGTTTCAAATGAAAGTTTGCAATTTTAGTGAAATGATCATTGATGAAAACAAAGATAGAAAATCAAAAGATTCATAAAATGACTATGATTTCAAGAATCTGAAAAAAAGATAAAGCAGAGAACAAAGAGAAAGGATTTGGAAATCAAGCCGGGTCTGGCATAGATGTGAATGTATGCATTTCTTAACTGTGGAGCACCTAAAAGAAGTTGTGATTTGATTTTTTTTTTTTTGTCTTTCTTTTTTTCAGGTATCTCATTCAGTTGCAAAACTTATATTAGTTAATTTCCACTGGCAAGTCTCAGAGATATTGGACAGGTAAGGCGTTTAGGGGAAAGGAGAAGACATTTCCCCTAGCTCTCCTCTGCCTGCCTAACCACTGATGATGATTGTTTACATTTGGAGTATACTCATCCAGTATACATACTACAATTCTAAAACACTGGATCATACTGAATATCCTTTTTTCTCATTAGTGCCCTTCTAGATAACACTTGGCAACATTTCCCATTACTTCTTTGGATACATCAAATGAGAAATGTGTCCTGATACATGGCATGTTAGAAAATGTCGACCATTTTACCAACCATCACCTATGCCTGCAGGATATTATGTGTCCCTCCCACCTCCTCCAGAATCAGAGCTCTTGAGGCACAGACACCTTAGAGTCTGAAGATGTTTCAGAAGTTCTCGGGAAGAGGGGTTCCTTCCCTGTGTCTTCTGGAGAAATCTGTGCTTCATCGTAGGCACTTTTGACATTTTGGGGTGATGATTCTTTATTGAGGGACCTCCCTGTGAACTGTAGGATGTTTGGCAATGCTCCTGGGCTCTACACATTAGAAGTCAGTAGCAGTGGCCACCCCAAGTACTTGACATCTAAAAATGTATTTAGATGGTGTGTGTCAGATAATCCCAAATTTTGGGTAACAAAATTGCCCATCTGAGAAGCCCATTCACACTGCAGGGAGACTTCCTTTCTCTATATGGTATGATTCCATTTATTTACAGGGGAAGGTCATGCCTTTCCTTCTTCAGACTAAACACAACTGGGTTGACCATACCAGTTGGAGCAGTTCAACACAATCAGTAAAGGGCAGATGATTTCCTTATTTCACTGTGCTTTCATGCTTTATATTTAAGAACTGACTACATTTGAATAGAATTGTAGATGAACCTCTGCTGTTGTTACTGCTGCCCAAAACTCTGGGGCATCTATTACTACCCAAACTCTCTAGCGTAACATGGGAGTAGAGATTCAAATAACTAAAGATACTTAACATACACGGAGAACTAAGCATAAAACAGGTCTCTTGAAAGGGAAGCACTCTGACTAGATAGGGTGAGTTACTCATATAGATAAGACATGGCTCTTTTCTGGTGCAATTATAGGTATCTTAGAAATGTGTTCACCTGAATTTTGTGTAGCACTTATATTGCCACATCATCATTCCATTTTTATCTTTTGATATATTTAAGTTATACCTCATTCCAGAGTAGAATTAAATTTTCATTATGGAAAAGAAAAAAAATTTTTTTCATTATGGATTTTTTTTTAAAGTATGTATGTGATCTGTAGGCAGGCCACTTGAGCCACTCCTCTGTATGTGATCTATGTAAGTTGTTGTTTGTGTTTTATTGTTGTTGTGTTACTAGGATTTGAGCTCAGATCCTTGGCATCTTACCAATTGAGCCAGCCCTATTTAGCATTAGTTATTTTTCAGGTAGGATGTCGCTTTTTGCATGGGGTTGGCTTCGGACCACAATTCTCCTTATACCTCCTGCATAGCTGAAATGACAGGTGCATGGCTCCACACTAGGCTTGTTGGTTGAGATGGGGGTCATGCACTAACTTTTTTTTTTTTTTTTTTTTTGTGAGATTGGGGTTTGAACTCAGAACCTTGCAAAGCAAATGTTGTGTCACTTGAACCATACCTCCAGACCATTTTGGTCTGGTTATTTTGGAAATGAGAGTCTCATGAACTGTTTGCGTGGGCTGGCCTCAAATCATAAGGCCTCCCAAGTAGCTAGGATTACAGGCATGAGCCATCAGTGTCCAGCTATATGTCTTGCTAACTTTTTGCCTGGGCTGGCCTCACAACACAATCCTCCCAATCTCCACCTTCTATGTAACTGGGTTTTTGCATGTATGATGGCACAGGGCTGTAATTCCAGCACCTGGAGGCTGAGACAGGAGGAGCATGATTTTGTGGCCAGTCTGGGCTATAAAGTAAAACCATCTCCAAAAAGGAAAAAGTACAGAGCAAACATAGTATCCACCCAATTAAAAAACCTTCTGACTTTTATATTCAGAGGCCTCTGGTGACAACTTCTGCTTAATTACACTTCTTGCCTTCTCTCCTAGGCAACTAATAATGTTCAGCTGAGTGTCGTTTTCCTATTCTTAAATTACGTATTTTTTGTTTGTATGTTTTTGGAATGTTATAAACATGAGATTTTGCTGTATGTATTCTTCACCTTTGTAAATTGATACAGTTGCCACCTTTCTTTCAAAGGATATTTATCTAATTCTGTCAAAGAACCTTTTTGATTTTTTAGTCTTTGCTGATTAAAAAGAAATGCAGCTCTGAAATTCTTATAGGTGACTCCTACAGTCAAAAAATTTTTCGTGTTAAGAAGTGAATTGCTGAGTTGTAGTGTATGTATGTCTTAAGCTTTACTAGAAAAGACCAGTTTGTTTTCCACAGTGATTATACTACTTAAGCTCCTGCTAGTGGTATAAAAATGTTCCTGATGTCAAACTTAATTTTAAATACAATCTGGTGAATATAAATGTTATTTAATTATTTTAAATCTCATTGTCCTGGATTATTAAATTGAGCATCTTTTCGTATGTTCAGTGGCCTTTGTTGCTGTCCTCCGTGAAGTGATGTTAAGTCTTTTGCCTATTTTTTGTTGAGTTATTTTGTCTTTGCAGATGGATTTTCAGGAGTTTTAATTTGTTCTTGATACTAATCCTTCGCTCTCTCTCTCTCTCTCTCTCTATACACACACACACACACACACATGCTTGTCTTTCAGTTTATGGCATGGTTGTTTACTTTCTGGTGTCTCCTGATAAAGTACTTGCATGTAGCATAATTTATCAGACTTTTCCTTTATATTTTACATTTTTTGTGACTTAAAGAATCCTTCTCTATTCTGAAGATATATTTACCTGTATTTCCGGAACTGGGTTTAACGCAGATCTGGTCCATCATAATTATTTTTCTTATAGTTCAGTGCCTTTGAAGCAGAGATACTTTTCTTACACCAATTGATAGCTAAAAAATTTATTAAAAAATCTTTGTACTCAGATAAAAGGAACGTTGGTTCTGTGAGGAAGTAATTAGAGATAATGGCATTTTAATGTGACCACACGTGTGGTGGTTTATCCAATTATTATTCAGAGGTAAAAAACATCATTTCTGATTCCCTTTGTCTCTACTTTTTGTTTTGTAGATACAAGTCCAATTCTGCTCAACTGCTTGTTGAGGCTCGAGTTCAGCCTAATCCATCAAAACATGTAAGTGTCTCCTGTTTGAGTAAGGCTTAGCCTGATGCACTCTCATTGTGGCTTCCAAAGATGGTCATTGAGAACTGTCTTTGCTTGGTAGTGTACCTTGACCAAAATATTTGTGGGAAGTTTCAAGTTGGGGATATAGCTCAGTGGTAGAACACTTGTTTAGCATGCATGAGGCTTTGGGTATGATCCCCAGTACTAGGGAAAAAGAAAAGTTTTCCAGGGCCCTTTCTAGTCTTACTTTCCCTTCCTCTATGTACTTAAACACAGTCTTCCCCTCTTCCTTCTGGGTACCTTGATGTTCCAAGATCACTGCATACCTCTGACTCTGCTTGTGTTTTCTCTGGCCTAGAATGTTGAGACTCTGTCCCTACATCTTTTTTGTGGAGTGCAACTGAGGTTTGAACACAGGGCTTCATTCTTGAAAAGCAGGTATTCTGTGGCTCAAGCCACACTTCTAGTCCATTTTGCTCTGGCTGTTTTGGAGATGGGGGACTCACTAACTGCTCAGACTGACTTCCAACCACAGTCCTCCCTATCTCAGCCTACCAGGTAGCTAGGGTTACAGTCATGAGCCACCAGCACCTGGCTGTTTCCAACTTTTTTTTACAGAGCTTGTTTCCTGTGATCTGTACCCTCCAAACTCCTATAATTATATCTTTCAACTTTTACATGTGTATTGTGATTAACTCATGTCTTTTTGCCTACCATAGTAACTATTTTAATAATGCATAGCAATTTTCTGTGTATCTAGAAGATCAACAAACATTTGTTGGGTATTTTTTGAATGAGGGCTGTTAAAAGAGCTCTTAGGAATTGGGACTCAGATCACTACATAATTTCTGCAGCCTTGGGAAAAAGGTTTCTAGAAGCATACTTGGATAGCCATGAGAATACATTACTTTTCCTCAACTTGTTTTTTATTTTCCTAGTGATCCAAAATGAATCTAATGTAAACTTGCACGTGGACTTTCCCATTGGTTTGTAGTATTGACCAAAGTTCCCAGAATGTCTTTGTCTGCTGATTTGTATAGCATGTCATGGATTTTGGAGTTAAAGCTTTGTAGTCATTTGCCCACATCCAAGAAGATTTCCTTCCTTACCCCTCCAAATTAGTTATATGTGACATCTTTTTCGTTTATTAAGAATGAGTTATAACTGTAAAAGCTGTAATACTTTGTAGTTTGGTTATATTGATAGGATAAAACACTATCTTTGACAAGTAAAACTGCAGTGTAGACTGAAAAGTTTTAGACTCAGCTTAGAGAAGCTTTGTAACTGGATTTGTAGTTCTTATTGAGGGCCAACTCTGTGCTGTGTGGAACTGGAGCAGTTTACAAAAGAAACCCTTTAGTTGCTAAAAGATGTTGGGACTGAAATGACCTTGGATGACCTTGGCAATTCTGAAATACTGAGTTTTTCAATCTGATTTTATAAACCATGGTAAGTTTTCATTTCAGCCTTCTCTCTGCCTCTCTCAATCCTAGTAGTTCTGCAAACTCAGCTTAGGTGCCACCTCTTTGGGAAACCTTCATGGTTTATGCTTTCTGTCCTCTTTAGCACTCAGAGTTCACCCATTGCAGTTGGGCCTAGACACTTGTTTTAGTGTCAGGATCACCTTCCATGCACCCCTGTGCCCTCTCCAGACCAAAAGGCTTCTCTTTGACTCATGTGGCTCTATCTCTGTCTAGGTTCCCACAGCCCATCCCCCTCACCACTGTGCAGTGTGTATGCAGTTTGTACGAAAAGAAAACCTACTCTCTCTGGCCTGTCAGCATCAGTTCTGCCGCAACTGCTGGGAGCAGCACTGCTCAGTTCTTGTCAAGGATGGCGTGGGTGTGGGTGAGTCTCCCACAGAACTTGTAAAAGGCTAGCATAAAGTATTTGTCTCCAACTCTGCCTTGTCATGTACCCCAGTAAACTGTTTTCTTCTGAGACTGGTAAGAGATTTTTATTGCTGGAGGTAGTGGTTTTCAAATATATTTTGACAGAATTTAGTGGCAGAATTTTCTCAGCAAATTGAGAAAATTAAAGCTATTGTAAATGCTGGTGTGATTACAAGATTATCTTCTCTCACCATGCAGGAGAAATGCCCTTTAAGATGCCTACTGTATCCTGATTCCTACATGGCAGCCATAATTTAGAAACACCCAAGAGACTGTTGATATTTAGGCAATATTGAATAAATCAAATTTGATGATAGCCTTCAAGTGTATTTATTACACTGTGACTTAATAATATTGAAACTAATTGGCATAACATTAATTGGTATCTGTGCAATTTCATTGTACTAATGATAATCACATGCATGTGATATTAAATGCCACAGAACTAAATTGTTACTCCAGAACCTTACATAAGGACTGGAGATGTAGTTCATGGTGGAGCAGTTGCTTCAAGGATTTCCTGTATGGAATCTGAATGTGTGGATTGAGCCTGCTGAGCCATTGTATTGCTTTGTGTCTTCTGCAGTGCTATTGTCCATCAGGTTGTCTTTGTTCAACAGGGGTCTCTTGTATGGCTCAGGACTGTCCACTTCGTACACCAGAGGACTTTGTGTTTCCGTTGCTTCCCAATGAAGAATTGAAAGACAAATACAGGCGCTACCTCTTCAGGGACTATGTGGAGGTATGACCATCCCTTGTTTTTCTGCTTTCTTATCCTCCTGGGCCTACTTTCCATCAGATAGTCGCTGTATTACTTTGTAGACACTAACACTGTGTTAGTGAAGAACATAGGCCCTGGCATCAGACAGACCACTGTGTAAATCCCAGATCTTGCTCTGTGACTATTGATTCATTAGTTTACCTTTCTGAGTCTTGATTTTTTTGCTTCCATAGAATGGGCAAACATCCCTACTTTTTCTGCACAGTTGTTTGAATAAGCTATTCTACCTTAGGGGATGAACACAAGTCAGACATGTCTCAAGAATTGCTATTCCACTTGATTTGCTATGTGATTCATTGCACAGAAGGGTTATTTCTTTTTTTTAGCAATTTGAAAAGTTGTCCAGTATTCCAGCATGGTTACTTTTAGAGTCCTTTCCCTTTGTTGGGCTACTTGTCCAGTTTTGCTAATTCCATGTAGCATTATTTTCACCTTTGCTCTTATGCCTAAGTTTATTGGATTGATTTATGCTCCCATACACATGCTGCAGAATAAACAGACAGCCTTGTTCTTTGTGTTGTTTGCTGCCTTTGGTAGATTTCTGGGGCTCATTGAGTACTTCAGAGATGTCATATGCATGGTTGACTGAGCTGTGTTCTTTCCATCCCAAATCAATACACACATGCGCACGCGCGCACACTCACACACTTTTTTTCTTCTTCTTCTTTTTGGAGCTCGGGTCTTGCTATGTTGACCAGGCTGGCCTTGAACTCCTGAGCTCAAGTGATCTTCCTGTCTCAGTCTTCCAAGTAATTAAGTAGCTGGGGCTACATCACACACCCATGCATCCGGTCCTGTATTCTGTTTTGTAATGTAAGCTTAGGTCATTGTAGTGAGATGCTACTTGGTTTAAGCTAAACATTGAAAAGTCATCTTCACTGTCTGGATACTGTTTGGTCTGCACAACATCCATCCTGAATTTGTGTGGTTCCTTGATGTAAGTCATCAGCTGGAAGAACAGAAGGCATTGGAGCACTCAGGGAGGTCTACTTTTGGGGTAACAATTAGGAGTTTTCCCTCATTGTTTGCCCTTGGTGTGCTTACAGAGTCATTACCAGCTCCAGCTGTGCCCTGGTGCAGACTGTCCCATGGTTATCCGGGTACAGGAGCCTAGAGCTCGCCGAGTGCAGTGTAATCGGTGCAACGAGGTCTTCTGGTAAGAGTGAGTGCTGAGTACTTCTGGGTTTGTGTGTTATCCTCCTACAAAGCACCACTGTTGCTGTTCTATATGAGGGGAGAGGCGGGATCTCTGCATCACAAGACCAGTCTGCTCCAAGTGTCCAGGTGTTTGATTAATGTTCAGTCTGGAGACAAAGAAGTGCACAAATTCCTGGAGAAACTCTTACAGTCTATGCTACTCATGGCCCAGAGATTTGAGTTTCTCCCCATTTGATAAACATGAGCATAGCTAAAGATTATCAAAGTTTAGCATGCAACAGGCACTGTCCTGGTCACTTTCCCTGCATTATCACAACTGTGTGTGAAGAAATCAGGGTGCAAGGTAAACCTGATAGTAAATGGCAGAGCCAAAATTTAGGTCCAGATCTGTCTTCCTAATTGTACCTCCTTAGAAGATTCATGGTAGGACTTCAGAGAAATTTCATGGTAAATGTCATGTGTGTGTACATGTCTCCTGCCTTTCGGGTCCCTTTTTTGAAGGACTCTGTGGTCCACCAAAGGTTAAGAACAATTAAACAGCTGATCTTCATCCTTTGTACTACTTTATGAACTTCTTTCCCTAAGGTATGTGTTTGGCATGAGGTCTTTATAACTGACTTAGGAGAGTCAAGCCATAAGAGTGTTGGAGTGTTTTTTTTTTTTTTTTGGATTTTAAGTTTCAAGTGTTGTCAGATGTATCATGATCATACATATTTCACAAGTTCTGGCATTTATACATCCTTATGTGCACTTCTGGATAGGAAGTAAGTTAGGGCTCTCAGAAGTGAGTCTCAGTCTTCCTTTGGATATGAGTCAATGAATCCTTCTCAGAGTACTTCACCGTCCCTTCAAGAATCTGGACTCAGGGCTGAGGGTGTAGCTCACTGGTAAAGCACACAAGGCCCTAGGCTCAATGCTCAGCAACACACACATGAAGAAGAAGCTGGGCTCTGTGTTTGACTCCTTTTAGAAAGGATTGACACCACATAAGATGTTTAAAGAAGCCAGGTGCAGGTGGTTCATGCCTGTAATCCTAGCTACTCAGGAGGCAGAGATTAGGAGGATTGTAGTTCAAGTGCAAGGCAAAAAGTGCAGCCCTAGCTCAGAAATACTCAACATAAAAAACAGCTTGCAAATTGGCTTGTCTAGCAAGCATAAAGCCCTGAGTTCAAACTTAGATATCAGTAGCACCTAAATAAATAAACTACAGTGTCTTTGACATCTTTTTAAAAAAAAAAAAAGAAGTTTAGAGAGAAACACTTCTTTATGGGCACTTCATGTCTTAGAGAGGCACAAGTTGAAAGCACATTCATGTAGTATTTGAATATAATCCTGGTAAGTAAAGGTCCCAAAGTCCTTGAGAGGTGAGTTTGCCTCTTTGAAACTCAGATTGAGGATCTGCTGGCTTGGACAAAAGGAAAACTTTAAACATTGAGACTCTGACTTAGTGAGTCAGTATTTAAATGTTTTTCTTTTCAATTTTAAGTTTCAAGTGTCGTCAGATGTATCACGCCCCCACAGACTGCGCCACAATCCGGAAATGGCTCACGAAGTGTGCAGATGACTCTGAAACAGCCAACTACATTAGTGCTCACACTAAAGACGTAAGGACCATATCTTACCTGTCATGGATCTGTCTTCAGTAGTGCTGCCCAGAGACCTGCCCTGGAGATTTGCCCTCTGAGAGCAGAACATAGCCCTGAAGCCCTTGCCAGTGGCTCCCTTGGAAAATTTTGATTAAAAAAAGGAAGTAATTAAAAAAATAAAACTAGTTTTTAGTGAATGCCTACCAGGCTTTAACAACCCTGGGAAAGGGTGGTTAATAGAAATACCTGATAAATAGAAATACCTGATAAATTGCAAGACCTGCCCAAATCTCATTTTGAAGCTTTTCATGGGAAGGTATGACTTATAAGCTATAGAGACAGTGTACCTCGAGTTAGATATTCTCTGAGTCAATGCACTCACAAGCACAGCTGTGACCATGACATCATTATACATAGTCTCCTTCATAGCAGTGGGAGACATGTATTAGACTAGTCTCTACATTGCTGCCTGGGATTTCTGGCTTTTCTCAAATGAGAGAGAGGAGCTTTTGAGGTGATTTCCATACCCTCTTCTGGAAGCAAATGTCTAAGCAAACTTACCAGGACTTAATCCAGAGTGGCAGCTCTTGGGTGTGTTTAGCAGACCTCCCCAGCATCAGGCTTTCTGCTGATTCAGCCTGGGCTTAATTTGAGTGGCTTCATGGCAGGGACAGATGGTGGAAGACTTACTGGGGCTCAGCTGGTTCTTGTATTGTTTCAAAGCCAAACATGCTGACCTCATTTCCTTGTTCCAGCCTCAGTGACCTGCCACATTTAAGTGAAATGCTCCTCCCCAGAAGTGCTCACATGATGAGCTACCGGGCATGGGTGCCAGGAGCTTTGTGTAATTTGTCTTAGCACTGACCTGATGGTGTATGAGCCTAATGGCACCCTTCTGTCTCCTCAGTGTCCCAAGTGTAACATCTGCATTGAGAAGAATGGAGGATGCAATCACATGGTGAGCAAAAGCCTGTACACTTTGCATGTGTGACATGGAACCTTTGGTCAGCGTGCTCTTAATTTGTTCTCTTCTGTTTCCTTCTGACAGCAATGCTCCAAATGTAAACATGGTGAGTCCAGGGCTGGTGCCTAAGGTCCAGTGGTATTATTCTTCTGCTTAAGTCTCCATTGCTTGTTCGGTGAATTCTTTTCTAGTGAAATGACAGAACAAAGGGAAGCCTTGGTCACTTACAGTCATGGAACAACATAAAGCAATTCTTGGGTTTTTATTTTTTGGTCCTTTTTATAATTCCACTGCTGTCTTGCTGACATCTGTAGTCAGAAGTCAGGTTTGGAATGACCCTCATGATCGTGTCATCCAAGAAGACTTAAGTGTGTTCTTTTTATTCTTCTTGCCAAGACAGGTAAGTAACAAGGGGATTTATCTATGCTACCTTATAGAAACTTTTAGAGCAGGCTTTACATGGCTTGCTTAAGGGGCTTTTTTTTTTTTTTAATTGTTTATTTTATTATTTATTTCTTTTTCTTGGCAGTATTGGGGTTTGAACATGGGGCTTGCTAGGCGCTCTACTACTTGAGCCATTCCACCAGCCTCCTTAGAGGCTTTTGATTTGGCCTTTCGGGTCTCCTTCATCTATCAGGACCATTTTGCGTAGCTAGACATTGTTGATTTTGCTTTCCTTCCTGCCAGATCAAGTGAAGATACAAAATTTCTTCAAGTAGAAAGATGTACAAGTAGTCTACTACATAGCCTCTTCGTTGCTGACCAGGAAACCCTGACAGTTTCTATTTGTAAGAGCTCATGCTGATGCTGTTTCTAGGAGCCCTCTGTAATCAGTGTCTGTGGCACTCTAGAACAGTGACTCTGTAGATGCAGAATGAAGATAGACCAAGGGTAGTGTCATATTTCCTTAGTGGGGTTCCACTGTCTCTCTGTCTCTGTATTTGTGTTTGAGTGTACATTTAGAAATGTGCATTCGGCACACATACAGTTCAAAGAAAAATGATAGCAAGATATGGTAGGCACCTCTATGGTACCAGTTACTTGAGAGGCTGAGGCAGGAGGATCACTTGAGCCCAGGAGTTCAAGGTCAGCCTGGGTATAGCAATATCCTATCTCAAAAATAGAAAAGAAGAATGGTAAAGACTCCAGAATCCACCACATTCCTACTGCTCTAAAAGCCCCCTATGTGCCCTTACCCAGTCACAATCTCCCTGCCTCTCAACACCCAGAGTTAAGTTTTTACATCCTTTGCTTGCTTTATAATTGTACCACTTCTTGGAGCAACTCTAAACATGTATTATTCTTTAAAATAGTAGCTAGCACATCTAGCCAATAAAAGAGAGAGCAGTATTACCACAGTTAAGACAAAGGCTTCAGGAGAAGAGAAGTTAAATGACCTGTCTGGGACTCTGGGTTTGGCTTTTGGCTTCCTAAAACTTTATAAGAGCCCCCTTTGGAAAGTCAGTGAGCCAAGTTATGAGTGAGCCCTAGGAAGCAGGGTTTGCCACTGCAAGTTCTCAGGCAAAGACATCATAGACTTCTAATAGAACTATGACTGATGCCTCTCCATTAGCTGCAATAATCATTCAAATGTGTAAAATTTACAAGGAGGCCTTTATCTTTCTCTCTTTTACTTCTCACTATGGAAACAGAATCATAATTCTGAGTACAAGATATTGTACTCAGAATTTTAGTTTTATAGAAATGTACACTTTAAAAGAGGAAAAAGCCTTTAGTCCCAGCTTTGTGTATAATTTCCTAGTTGTGATAAGTATTGTGAGGGTGGCAGGTAGTCAGGAGAGCAATTTGTATAAGACAAATTGAGTAATCCAGGTGGGCCTCATTTGGACAAATTTCTGATTCTAATAGTGGCATTGACCCAGCAGACCAGTGAAAAATAGTAGCTGTCTGTGTTAGATTAGTAAGGCACACAGCACATTTGCTTGTTCTATGGAGAATATCCACAGGCCATTGGATTTCCATCAGTAAGTACAGGCTATAAGGATGGTGAGCTGTGACGGGATGAGAGTTGCCACATACGCTCTGCAGAGAGGTACCCTGGGAGGGGATTGGGGTATAGTTCAAGCAGTAAGAGTACCTAGCAGGCACAAAGCCCTGAGTTCAAACCCCAGTACCGCCAAGAAAAAACAAAAAAGGAAAGAAAAGAGAAAAAAAGACACACTTGGGAGGTCCCTGTCAGGCTTTGCCTGTGCCTTGGAGGAATGTGGGTTTGTCTCAAGAGGGTACATGACTAGTCCTCTGTTCTGTGCAGACTTCTGCTGGATGTGTCTAGGAGATTGGAAGACACATGGCAGCGAGTACTACGAGTGCAGTCGGTACAAAGAGAATCCTGACATTGTCAACCAAAGCCAGCAAGCCCAGGCCAGAGAGGCCCTCAAGAAGTACTTGTTCTATTTTGAGAGGGTAGGTGTCCTCTCCTGTACCTGCCCCTCCGGTGCAGTGTTCTTACAGTTGGCCTGCTTCAGTGGTTGCCAGAGCCAACCTGTGAACATGAAGGTTAGTGAATGGAGCTCCTGCCTCTATACATGGGGCTTTCAGGCTATGTAGGGCGTTCTTAGCCATCTCCAGGACCTGGTACTGTCCTTGATTAAATGATAGATCAAAGAACAGTAAAGGACCATCAGTCTTTTCCATAAGTCAGGGGAGTCTGTGACCATGTCCTGCCAACCAAGGTGTTTTTTCTGAACTCTGCTGCAGATCTTCCTCCTTCTCTTCTTTACAGTGGGAAAACCACAACAAAAGCTTGCAGCTAGAGGCACAGACATACCAACGGATTCATGAGAAGATTCAGGAAAGGGTCATGAACAATCTGGGAACTTGGATTGACTGGCAGTACCTACAAAATGCTGCCAAGCTCTTGGCCAAGGTATCTTCCACCTCACTCTTCAGACCCCACTCCCAAGCTTGCCCTGTCAGGTGCAGACCTCTAGGGTGAGAGGCCCCACCTCTGAAGGGTGGGAAGGGATTTGGCACCCTGCACAGCCATGCTTCTGTTGGTGGGTCTACATTTTACTGTGTTGGCTTACCGAGAATCCAGCTGTATGCTAGATGTCCAGGTGATTTCTAAGAAGAATGTTTCACTACCTCTGACTATAGGGAAAACTATAGCCTTTTTTTCATTTATTCCATCTCTGGATCACTCAAAGGAAAATAAGAGATTGTCTTTGGACAAGTATTGGAACAGATATGTAGACTCTGATGTCCAACTAAAGATGGAAGTCATGAGGCAGCTGCTGGTAGTAAATCAGTTTGAAAAGAGCAATTGTGTGTTCCGTGACCATAAAAATATTTTAGATTTCCCCATGTTTTCCTTTAGTCCATCCTTTCTTTAGAGCTAGATTAATTTGCATGGTGCAGTAAGAATTATAATAACTACCTGAGATGCTGGTCAGTTAGAAACACAGACATATGCCTTTCTTCTATTTGCAGTGTCGATACACCCTGCAATATACCTACCCATATGCATATTACATGGAGTCTGGGCCTAGGAAGAAGCTGGTAAGTCAAAGGAGTCCTCCACTCTGTCCTGTAGCATTAGAGGTACCCTTGTTTACCAGCATTTTTCAGGAGAGCAGGGACCTAACCATGGTCATTGGGAGGGCAAAATCAAAACAAAACTGTCTTACTGGTAAAATTTACATTTCTATTCTTCATCTTCAGTGTAGGTCTCAGGTGCTATCATTCTGTATAGTAGTAAAGCAGATACAATGATGAACAATGATATTTAAAGGATGATTGGCTGAAAAGTTCTGTGGCCACTTGATAGGCCAGTGGTCATTCTTTGGAAGGGTATTCAGCATGTACATCCCTAAATTATAGTTGACTTTTTTTAGATCTTTGTTGAATTCTTTTTCTTAGGTACTGGTTGTTTTCCACTGATTATAAAGTAATTCACATTTATTGTTTAAATGTTAGAAAACAGAAAAGTGTTTGCATCATAATCCTGCCAGAAAAAAATGACCACTATTAGCATTTTCCAGCCTTTGTGTGTGTGTTTGGGGTTTGAACTCTGGGCTTTGTGCTTGGAAAGCAGATGCTTTAGTGCTCAAGCCACACCTCCAGTCCATTTTTGCTCAGTTATTTTGGAGATGGGGTCTCACAAATGATTTACCCTTGAACAATGATCCTCCCAATCTTAGCCTCTTAAATTGCTAGGATTATAGGTGTGAGCCACCAGTGCCTAGCCAGCCTTTTATAATTAATATCATAGGTTGTAGCTCAGTGATAGAGCACTTACCTAGCATATATGATTATAAGCCCTGTATTCCATCACACACACAGGCATGGTAGCCAACCTGTAATCTCAGTTCTCAGAAGACAGAGAGTAAGAGGATCACAAGTTCCAGGCCAGCCTGGGCTACATATAGCAAGATATTTATCTCAAAAAAACACAAATATGTATGTGTATATATGTATAATGCACATGTTGTAACAGTTTATTAGTAGTATTACAGCTGTCACCTTCAACCAGACTGGTAAATTCTATTTTTCATATTTGTTTGTCTGTTTGTTTATTTACTTACTTATGGCACTACTGGGTTTGAACTTGGTGCCCTGTGCATGTCTAGCAAACTGCCACTTGAGCCACACCTCTAGCCCTTATATGCTTTTAGGTTATTTTTTTTTTATAGGGTCTCATGTTTTTACCTGGGGCCTGTCTGGACCATGATCCACCTTCCTACAACCTCCTGTGTAGCTGGGACCAGAGGCATGTACCACCACGTCTGGCTTACTTGTGGAAATAGGGGTATCATGAACTTTTTGCACAGGCTGGCTTCCAATCTCAGTCCTTCTGATCTCTGCCTCGCATGTATGAAATTATAGATGTGAGCCACTGTACCTGGCTTTATGTTCTTTTTTACAATGGCTGCATAAATAGTTCATTACATGATTGAAGCATCATTTGTGACATTTATTTTTTGTTTCTCACTGTTATAAGATATTGAGGAATATATTTGTTCATAATGTTTTATCTCAGATATAATTACTACGTCAAATGGTTTGATTTCTAAGACTCTGGATTTGCAGAAAGGCTGAAAAAAATGAAAAATGGTGTTGAGTGAATACATTATCTGGGAATATCCATTTTTACTTGTTTTTGTAACATCTATTTCTATGTTGGGAGTTCTCTTCAGTGGCTTTAAATTCTTCCCCTTCCTTTGGCTGTAAAGGGAGAATTTGACCTTGCCATTTGGCCATACTCTTTGGGTAGCCTTTTGTTTGGGTGTTGTTTTCTAGCACTGTGAACAAGGAGTAACTTGTGCTCCGAGGACAGTATCGGGATTGTCAGTAGCTCATGCGAGCCTGAGGTGCTGCATATGCCCCTCCATCTGCAGGCCCTGCTCAGCTATAGCCCCTTCTCCTTTTGACCCTTCTGCTCTGCCCATACAGTTTGAATACCAGCAGGCTCAGTTGGAGGCTGAGATCGAAAACCTCTCATGGAAAGTGGAACGTGCAGACAGCTATGACAGAGGGGTAAGTGCCTGCTGTCCTCTTGCAGGTAACAGAAGATTGGTATGGTAATAGGTGACAGGGTGTTGGTGTGTATGTGGAAGCTGATGTTGAGAATGGTGGGAAGGGCATTGTTTTTGATTCCTTGGAGTCCCTGTCCTGGTGGATGTGACAGAGTTACTACCTATTGCTAGCATTGGCCCATACAAACACCCATTTTGCTTCTTTTGTGCAGGACTTAGAGAACCAGATGCACATAGCGGAGCAGCGGAGGAGAACCTTGCTGAAGGATTTCCATGACACCTAAGTTGGGATATGGACATGCCGGGGTGAGGAAGATGGAGCTGCGAGGTCTCCCGGCTGCCATACTGCATGCTGCAGGCTCTGCCTTTCACAACCCCAGGCAACAGCCAGGGCCCCATTCCTGAGAGACACTGGCAACACACTTCTTAGTTGATTTGTTTTCTTCTCATCTTTTTGCTTTTTGTTTCTACCAGGGTAGGGGCCATATTAAATTGGCCTCTTTTCAGGTCTTTTAAATTCCCCTGGATGGTGGTTGGGAGGGAGGGAACGTTTGTTTCTGAATGGCTATTAATAGTATTAGATCATTACAACTTATGTAATTTTCAAAGGTTGTACAATTGTACAAAAAAAAAAGGCAAACCATAGGATAACACAGAGCCCTTTTTAAAAATAAATTGGTATTGGAGTGTTTTACCCTCTAGCTATTTTACTTAGAATGTAACATATGCTGCTCACCCACCCTGCCTCAGAATGTCTGTACTGCAAGGGGCCTACCTAGGGTGGCCTCTGCTTTCCAGCTTCATGTGTTGGCCAAAGCTGGAGTTCTAAGGAAAGAATATGACTAGCATGGTGGGAACTGAGTGGTCTGTGTAAAAGGCATGAAGCACAGGGAGTCACGTTGTGCCTCCTGCCTTACTTGGGCAGTAAGGAGACAGTTCAGAACAGGGTGGTCTTCTGTGGGCTCATCTTTATTCTTGAAGGTGAGGTTTACCTGAGTCTGATAGACTGAGGCCGGATCTCACAGGAGAGCATAGGTGGGCTTGTGACCCTCCAGACTGGGGTGGGTGGAGACACTGGTTCTGCAAGGTGCTTCCTCTTGTCTTGTAAAGATAGAGACCCACACTTTTAAGGGAATTGTTTCCCAAAATAAATTGCTTTACCTTGGTCCCTCCATTTGTGCCAGTATTCAAGTTGTATAACTCTGACCAGGGGCACAAGTGGCCATATATGACACTGTCTTGCATTCTTCTTGGAAACATAAAGGTCAGAGTTCAGCATGGCTCTCACAAGGACATTGGCCTTCCTGGCTCAAGGGCTAGGTTTTCACAAGTTGTTTTGCTGTTACTTGGAGTGTGACCAGCAGCTACTCTGGGGCTGGGTGTGTTCCACTTTGCCTGGTTCCACCTCTAGAGTCTGGGAGTCTAAGGCCAAGAGGATTTTGGTCTGTGGTCCCAGTTCCTGTACTAGAAGGAGCTGGCTAGAGGAAAGGACTATTTCTTGCATTCTCAAGTGCAAGAGAACAAGCAGCTTGCCTGGTGTCCTTCCTGTCTTGAACCTGGTCCTGTGGGCCTTTGAAAAGTTAGATCTGTGATCTCTGGGGTTTCTGTGGCTTTGTTTAGTGCCTCCCCTCTGAGACTGACAGAGCAGTCTATACTTGACAGGGCCTCCTTGACCTCCTAGGAGAGCCTATAGGGAAATCTGTGAATAGTATAGTGGAGATTCTTTGATATTCATACATTTTCACCTCCAGTCAGCAATTACCTAGGTATCATGTAAACTGTAAAATTAAAGTCATTCTTGAAGACAGAAGACAACTGTGACTCTTGGGGTACATGGCTGGCTGCACGTTCCTTTCTCCTCCTCAGGTTTTGTTTCTTCATTGCATCTCTAGCAAGGGAGAGACTATGGGGCAGATTGTGAAAAAAAAACAAGTTAGAAGGGTAGTGAATGAGTCCAGAATGGGACAATTGGGAGCTAATTGTGAACAAGGAGAGGGCCTGCTGCAGGGTCCCCGGGTAGGGTTTGAGTGCTTTCTTGGCACATGGAATATCCTGGCATCCAGAGCCTTTACCTCTCCATGAAGTTCTTTCTGTAGCATCACCATAACACAGGACCATAGTTGCAGCTCTGAATCCTGAGACACCCTTGGCATTTTCTGGATTACATGGCTGCCATGTCCTGTACTTACATCCAGTTGTGATCTTGACCATTGTTGCTGCAGGAGGTTCTGTGTCCAGACCATAGCCTGTAGCACTTCACCTGTGCTTCCTTTTGTGCCCCCAGTGGCCGTCCTTTGTTAACATTGCCAGAAAATGGGAAGGTCAGGCAAACTTTTTTGCCCTGCAAAGGGTAGAAGAAAGACACACTGGTTTAATGAATTTACTAGATCTCTGTTTTTCTTCAAAGAAAAGTTAATTAAGGCAATGTCATCTGCTCAAAGTTGAGTGGTTTATTCAAAATAAACTTAAGTTTCTGATTATAAAAATGTGTGTAGAGTCTTTCTTCAGAGGGTCCAGGTAGCCTCCAGAGCTGCATCATGGTCTGGCCAGTGAACACCAGATGAGGATCTTCCTCCAGGGAGCTATGAAGCCCTCCTTACCCCCCACCCCACTGAGTTCTACCTTCTTTCCTAGCTGTTTGTGGAGGGGATACCTGTAAGTGGTCCCTGCAGAGGGTAGTAGAATATCCTGGGAAGTTTTAACTCTCCTCTCCTTGGGTGCAGGCTAAATCATTCTCTACCACAAACAGACAGGATTGTGTGGGATATTGTAGTGAAATGAATATGAATGGCCCAGCTCACCCTCCCCCCATTCAGAAGACCTCTGGGTCCTTCCAAAACAGACATGGGAACATAATGGCAGGGGGCATTGTGGCTTTATATTACAGGATTTCTCAGAGTTACAAAGAGACAACTCAGGACAGACGTGTGTAGTCTAATCCCAAAGGTGAGAGACTGGAAAACAGAATTTGGGTTCTGATTAGACTGTCAGGAGTGTCAAGCAACTTCAGTGGTAGGAAGCTTTGGGGGTAAGGTAAAGACCCAGAGCTGCAGGCATCGTGCACAGGGCAACTGAGGCTGGCAGAGACCTCAACGCAGTAGCTTCAGCACCTCAGGGATGCCAGTTCTTTTGCTTGGCATCTGGGTATACAGAGCATGCAAAAGATACATGAGATCTACCTTGAAGTCCGTGAGGCATACACAGAATTGGTTACTCATGAATGTTTTTACTGCACAGCAAGGCAAGAGACTGAACTATCCAAGCATAGGACCATCCCTACAGATCAGTGGGCAAACATGGTACTGTGGCCTTTGTGGTGATACTCAAAGGAGACAAGAGGAGACAGCATATTCTAGCATGTCTAGAGAAGGATTTCCCATATAGCCCCCAGGGGTTCATGCAACAAGTTCCACTTTGCACACAGGGTATAGCTATGGATCAACAAGCCAGACTGGTGCCTGTCTCCACAAGATAAGTCCACACTAATGCTGGCTGAGGAAATATTAGTCTACAATACATAGATGCAATTAAGTAATAAAGTTAGAAAATAAAAGCTGGGTATGGTGGCATATGTCTATAGTCCCAGCTACTCAGGAGGCTGAGGTGGATAGATCTCTTGAACACAGGAATTTGAGGCCAGCCTAGACAACAGCAAGAATCCCATCTCTGAGCACTCTGGGTCATACCTGTAATCCTAACTACTAGGGAGGTGAAGAAATGGGGAGGGGGTGGGGGCAGGGGGGAGAAGTGACCCAAGCCTTGTATGCACATAGGAATAATAAAACAATAAAAAAAAGAAAAAAGAAATGGGGAATGTGGTTCAAGGCCAGCCCAGGAAAACAGCAAGACACATCTCAACCAATTGCTGAGCATGGTGATACCTGTCATCCCAGCTACACAGGAAGCATAAATAGGATTGCAGTCCGGGCTGTCCCAGGTATAAACAAACACAAGGCCCTATTTAAAAAACAACAAAGCTGGGCATTGGTAGCTCACACTTGTAATCCTAGCTACCCAGGAGGCCAAGATCAGGAGAATTGTTATTCAAATCCAGCCCAGGCAAATGGTTTGTGAAACCCTATCTTGAAAAAACCCATCACAAAAGGGGGTAGGGGCTGGTGGAGTGGCTCAAGGTGTAGGCCTCCTGAGTTCAAACCCCAGTACCACAAAAAAAAAAAAAGGGCCGGGGTTGTGGCTCAAGTGGTACCCTGGTACCACGAAAAGAAAAAAAATGCTCCAGGCATTGGTGGTACACACCTGTAATTCTAGCACTTAGGCTGAGGCAGGAGGATTTTGAGCTTGAAGCTAGTCAGGGCTACATAACAAGACCCTGTCTCAAAAAAAAAAAAAAAAAAAAAAAAGTTCCAGGCCCCCACTACTAGTAAATGACAAAGCAATAAAAAATGTTTCCTTCTAGAAACTTAAAAAGTTCAGTTTTTGTAATGTAGATTAGAGAACACAGCTCTGACCAAGGCTCAGATTTGATATTGTGTTTGTCAACCATTGAGACGGTTGCCCTGCTATCAAAAGGGACAGAGCTTTTGATGGGTTGAGATTTTGACTTATTAATGAGGTATGGTGCCAAACATTTGTAATCCCAGCTACTTGTGAGGAAGAGGCAGGAAGATTGAGAGTTCAAGGCCAGCCCAGAGAATGATGGTGTCAAGACTCAAAAAAATTTAACAAAAATTCTGGGGCACAGCTCAAGTGGTAGTAGTGCTTGCCTAGCATGTGCAAGGCCCTGGGTTCAATCCCTAGAACCACAAGGGAAAAAAAAAAAATCTGGTTGTGAAATTCTTACAACCAGCAGCATGTAGACCAGCAAAGGCGGTGATACAGTACACCTGCAGCCTGCTTGTTTTTTGTTTTTTTTTTTCTGCACTGGGGTTTGAGCCACTCCACCAGCCCTTTTTTTGTGATGTGTTTTTAAAAGATAGGATCTCGAACTATTTGCCTGGAGCTGGCTTTGAACCATGAGTCTCTTGATCTCTCTCTGCCTTCTGAGTAGCTGGGAGTATAGTTGTGAGCCTCTGGCACCTGAACCTGGCTTGCCTTCTACCGTCCAGTAGTTAGCTAGCAGAGAAGCCCCTGTGCACAGCAGCAGGCATAATTTGAATGGATACAGGTAAAAAATAGAATAGGGAAAACAGGTTAAGGAAAGACGATTTTATGGTGATCTAACTGTAGTTTTTAAAGGGCTAGAGAGAAACAGTATATTCTTTGATATTTGAAAATCATGAAATCCTTGGTAAACTGCCAGGTGGCACGCACCTGTAACTCCAGCATGCAGGAGGATCATGAGTTAAAGGCCAGCTCACTCTATGTAATGAGACCCTTTGCCTCTGTCTCTGTGCAGGGAGGTCAGGGCTGCCTGGCAACCCCAGAGCTGTTCCCACTCCTGTCTGGAGCAAGGTGCTGGTAGTGGTGTTTTGTTTGATCAAGCCACAACAGCTATCATTGCTACCTATTCTCTTCTGTTTCAGAAAAATCCATAACCTCTCCTTTTATGGAGCAGAGAGATTAACAAAGTGGTCCCTGAGGGTGGCTAGATTTGTAGATGCACCCATGCATTTGGGGGTGCTGATGAAACCTGCCATTGTAATATATCAGGAAAGAGATGGACCTGCCCTGAGAACCAGAAAATGCAGCCTTAATAAGTGTTGCTTTTGTTGCACACATGTGTGTGTTCAGGGGTCAACTTTTGCCCTGGGTGTGTACCTCTCCTAGAAGAGCAGAAAGTACAAATATGCCTTGGCATTTGGCCGCTGGTATGTCCTCCCAGCCCATTTTTGGTGAAAATCTGAGTTTAATTTTCCTCTGAAGTGATGGTGTCACGATTTAAAGGAGCCCCCTTCCTCCCTCTTCCTGTGTGCTAGCTTCGAGGCAGTAAGATTTTTCAATACACTGAATACCTGCTGCATTCCTGCCGGTCACTGTTGGGAAGCTGACCTTATCGCTGACTATCCCAGGCTCTGTCCCACCGTCTATACAACCCAGCACATCAGGCAGCCTCTTCCTAGGGCCTGGCTCATGTGACTCTCCCCGGGAGGTGCTGTCAAAGCTAACGGACCTCCAAGCACGCCCACGATAAGGTGGTGGGGACCCGCTCCATCACGTGCGCAGTCCTGGGCCTCCGCAGTATTGAGTCATCTGGCGCTGCCTCCTCCTGGCTGCCACTCCCTATCCCCATTTCTGGGAGCCAGAAAATACAGACTAGGCTCTTCTGGGAGGCGGGAAGGGGGCGTCTTAACCAGGCAACGGAGAAGCTACTAGTGGGGTCTGCCTTTAACGGTGCTGCTCTTGTCAGCCTCTACGTTTGAGGGGATGGACTTCTCTTCTGGGGAGAGTACAGCTCTGCCTGACGAAAACCCAGCTCGGGAAGAGAAACCCCAGTGTGGCTCGAGGTCCAAGGCACAGAGGGCCGAGCTCAGTGCGAGCCAGAGCGGTTCCCGGCAGGCGCAGCATCCCCAGGCACCGTCTCCTAGTGACCGCAGTGCGCGCGGGCTCGGCAGCCCTTGCCCGGCGACTGCGCATAGCGAGCACCCCCGCAGCCCCTCCCCTGGGCGCGCGCGCGACCTGGGCGCCATGGCGGCGGCGGTGACAACAGGCCAGCGGCCTGAGGTCACGGCGGTGGATGAGGCCGGGAGTCCGCAGTGGGCGCCACCTGAGCACCTCGGGGCTGGGGCAGCGACCGGGCTAGGCGATGGCGAAGACGCCCCGGTGAGGCCTCTGTGCAAGCCGCGGGGCATCTGCTCACGCGCCTACTTCTTGGTGCTGATGGTGTTCGTGCACCTGTACCTGGGCAACGTGCTGGCGCTGCTGCTCTTCGTGCACTATAGCAACGGCGACGAAAGCTCCGACCCCGGGCCCCAGCCCCGCGCCCAAAGCCCCCGGCCCGCGCCAACCTTAGATCCCCTCACCCGGCTGGAGGGCATCAAGGTGAGGACATCCCCTCCTCGTGCTCCGCCGCAATCCAGACCCTGCATGGCCAAACCAGAGAAGTTTCCTCAGCCCTGTGCCCACGCACTGACCCTCCGCGCCACTCTGTGTCAGTCCCGCTCCCATTCACTTGCTTGCTGTTGCACCCTTGGCACTCTTTCCTTCTTGAACAGTGTCGCCTGGCACCCCAGCTGCCCGCTGTGCTCCTTTCCCTTAGGTGGGGTATGAACGTAAGGTCCAGCTGGTCACTGACAGGGACCACTTCATCAGAACCCTCAGCCTCAAGCCATTGCTCTTTGGTAAGTCTGCAGGGCAGCCCTGGGAAAGACCAGGGGCAATGGGGTGGCTTTGAGACTCCTTTTGACCACGTGCTTTCTATTTTGAAAATGGCTGCTTCAAAGTAGCCCTTTCTTTTTTTTTCTTCCAGAGCATTACCAAAGTGAAGTAGGGCTCCCTTCTCCCTAATAGGGAAAAAGGTGACCTTTTCACACTCGACTTGAAACTCACACTCGACTTGAAACTCGACTTATCACTAGGTTGGGCAATGTGACCCTGAAACTACTATCCAAAAGTTGCATTGAAATTGTTTTTGGACATTCTGTGATGCCACTAATTCTGTCACCTTCTAGAATAGGAAGGGGGTGACACCTGATAACCAGGTGTCAGCTGATCTCAGGGTCTCTGGGGGAAATCACACTCCCAAAGTGGACCCCGAAGTCTGGTGAGAAACAGGCTATCCAAATGTGGATAAACTTGTGCCCTCCAGCCTACCCTACCAGGCTACCAGCACTATGGGGTTCTTCTTAGGATTCTTCTTTCACTCATTGTGGACAGAACCACATCATAACTAATGTTTTCTGATAGGCTTCATGTGATTTCATTTCATTTTTAACAACGACCCTGTAAAGGGAATGTAGCTCCCACCCTCAGGCCAGTGGGGAAAGTGAGACATAAGCAGCCTGCACCTGTACATGAAAGCCATGGTGCTAACCATGAAGACCGTCAAAGACTACAAGTAGCAACAAGATGGTGAGGGTCCAGACACAGGAACCTTGCCCAGGGTAAATTTGTGCCAGCCTAGTTCTGGGTACCTGGCCTCAGTGGGACATTAGTAGATCCAGGGCAGCCTCTGAGTCTGGGTACCTGGCTCTGAGGCCAAAGCAGAACATTTGAGTGCATGCCATCACCCCTGAGGACAGAGGACCCTGGCTGGGGATTGTGGATAGACCTGTAAGAATGTTGAGTGCATGCTGTTTGTGGGGAGGTAGGTTATGTCTGTCAGTCCTATTGTGAGAAAGTCTGTAAAGGGTGGTGGTGGTTATTATACTGTTACTGTTGAATAACATTGAAACCTGTATCAGGCACTATTTTAGGTACTGGGAACACAGCCTTGTTCAAAACAACACCAAAGCTGACAAAGGAATGAAGAGGACACAGATAAATAATTACCTAGTCTCACACACAAAAAAAATTAACTATAAATGGTGCATTGTGTCAGGTGGTGATACAAAATTGCAGACAAGTAAGCCAGAATTTTACCTCGGATGAAACTCTTAATAGGGTAACCAGGTTGGGCTTCCTTGAGAAAAACATTTGAGTGAAGACCTGCAGGATGTATGGGTTCAGGCCAGATGGCTGTCAGGGAAGGGTGATCTGGGCAAAGACAGCAATTCTCACCTTATTATTGTGACACCTCTGTGAACAGACATGTTAAGATGTTTTCTCTTACAAGCCTTCCTGGACCTGTATCTAATTCAAATTCATGTCAGGTTAGGTGAGCCACAAGGGCAAAGTCTTCCTGATGTGCAGATTGTCCTATAAAACAGAAAATGCGAAACCCAGATCTGAAGTCCCCAAGAGTAAATTACAAGAAGCAGAAGAGCCGGGTGCTAGTGGCGCATGCCTATTACCCTATCTTCTGGGGAGGCATAGATCAGGAGAATCAAGGTTCAATGCCAGTCCAGGCAAATAAGTTTGTGAGACCCCCCCCTCCGCCATCTCCAAAATAACCATAAGTAAAAATGGAATGGAGGTGTGATGGCTCGAGCAATGAACATTCGCAAACATTAAGTCCTGAGTTCAAGCCCCAGTCCCACCAAAAAAAAAGAAGAGATTTAACAACAGCTAAACTGGTTCTGGTTAGGCCATCAGATGAATTTTTACAGAAAATTTCGAATGGGCATAATTAATAGATTTGAGCTGGGCATCAGTGGCTCACACCTGTAATACTAGCTATTAAGGAAGCAGAGATCAGAAGGATCGTGGTTCAAAGCCAGCCTGGGCAAATGGTTCACAGGACCCTATCTCAAAAACATCCAGCACAAAAACAGGACTGGCTGAGTAGCTCAAGTGGTAGAGCACCTGCCTAGCAAGTGTGAGTTCAAGCCCCAGGATTGCCACCCCACCCCAAAAAAAAGAGAGATTTGGCAGCTGTGACATGTATTTCTTGTTTCAGTTCCTCATCTCCTCTAAAGTACTTAGAGCTGGTCAGTTAACCTGAAAGCACTTGAACTTGCTGTTTGGCGAATGAGGTGGGGCAAAAGTGAGAGATCAGGGATTATTAGAAGCCCAGTTGTGAAAGAGGGAAACCAAATGGAGAGTGTCCAAAGCCAGGGAATTCCAGAATGCTGGAATCCAAAGAAGGATGCTTCATCCCAAGAAGTAGCAGTTTCTGCCTATTTTCTGTACTTGCCTGTTCATCGTCCATTGGTCTGCTGTCCGTGATTGTCCTAAAGAGGCAGGCAGAGCTGAGGAGGATGAAACTACTATAGGCTCTGCCCTGCTGCTTTTAGCTCCAAACCTGTGAGCTGCCAGCCTGAGAGACCCAAGATGTGAGCACTTCAAGGGTGAGTGCTCAAGATGTGAGCTGAGGCAAGGGGACTGAACTTTTGCCTTAACTTACCCTATCTTAACTTGATTATAATGGTTAAGACCCTATTTATAGCCAGGCACAGTGGTTCATGTCTATAATCCCAGCAATTGGGAGGCTGAGGCCTCCCAATTGGGATGATCCCAAGTTCTAGGCCAGTCTGACTACATAGCAAGACTCAAAAAAAAAAAAACCCTATTTCTTTTTTTTTTTTTTTGCAGTACTGAATTTTGAACTCAGAGCCTATATCTCGAGCCACTCCAGAAGCCCTATTTTTGTGATGGATTTTTTTCAAGATATGGTCTCATGAACTATTTGCCCTGGCTGACTTTGAACCACGATCCTCCTGATCTCTGCCTCCTGAGTCTAGGATTACAGGCGTGAACCACTAGTGTCCTGCCTTCTTTTTCTTTTTAATCTTTTCTCTTTTTTTGGTGGGGGGGGCGGTGCTAGAAATTGACCCAAGGGCCCTGCACATTTTAGGCAAGTGCTGTACCACTGAGCTACACCCCTAGCCCCCTAGACCTTCCATTTCACTTCTAGGTCTCATATGGTGCCTCAAAGCCCTCACATCTCTTAAATCTCATCTCCTGTCACTTACCCTCACTTCCTGCTGATTCTCAGACACCAAGCTCTTGTTACTGCCTCAGGGCCTTTGTATGTGCTTCCCTCATTAGAAAGCTCAGATCTTGCCCTTCTCACAGATGGTGCCTTTAGCTCCATCAGGCATCTACTCAGACATCCCATCCTCAGAAACTTCTCTTGTCCTCAAACCAGTCTTGAGAGGTTTCCTTATACCCTGTTAAATAAACCTACTTAGTGTTCTTCCCAATGATCAGCACTGCTGGAAACTATTTTCTATACTTATTTGTGCCTCTGTCCACAAAGGTGAGATGCATTTGCAGGAAGCTTGGTTTGTTCTGGTTGTGTGTCCAGTAGCAGAGTTGTGTCTCTGCTGATCATTGCTGGCTGGAGGGGTCATCTGGCTGCTGTCATCCCAGACCAACACCTATCTGCTTGCTTACTGGCCACCACCACCACCCTCCTGACTTAGTACCCTTCAAGGACAGCCAGGGGCCACCTTCAGTGAGCCAGCACAAGTTTTAAATAATTTGATTTTTTTGGCAGTACTGAGGTTTGAACTCAGGGCTTCATGCTTGCTAAACAGGCGTTCTACTGCTTCAGCCACTTCTCCAATCTCCGTTAATCCATTTTTCTTAACTACTTTAGGTTAATAAGTAATGGCCTCTAGTAAACAAAACTATTTTAAAATCATGACTGCTTTATCATAGGATTTCCAAATGTATTCTTTGTCAGCTTAAGAAAATAATTAGGCAGCTGTGTCCGATCACTATGCCCATGACAAACACTGGAGGCCCAGAAATAGGGAAGAATTTTAGTGTGCAAATTAGTGACATTTCCTGCATGGTTTGCCCCCTCCCCTGCCAAAGACTGCTGCTGTTTCATGGGCAGCACTTGGCAAAGTCATGGAATCAACAAGGTCAAGCAGGTATAGTTGGTTCTGACTGGGGCTGGACAAGTAGCATACTACCCACAGCAAGCAGTGCCTGATACCGTGTGCCTGCCCTTTAGGGTGCTGGGTCATGTGGTCAGTAGCAGGGCAGTAGCTCAGCTGCCATCCCAGATCTGGGAAGGACAGAAAGATAGTAGTAGTCTGTCCTGCCCAACACACATAGCTGCCAGGAGCCTAACCTGCTTTGCCTGCACTCTTGGCAGGGGAGAACATTAGGCTCAGGAAGCAGTCTCACCCTTCTTGATCCTTGGGCCTTGCTGGTCTCTGGTCTGCAAATCTTCTGGCAGGGAGGCCACAGAAAGAGGGTCTGTGTGTGTCTTAAGAGGGCATGCACAATTTATGTGGCACTATAGAGGTTGTGGCTAAAAGTCCCAGGCTCCTGAGTTCCAGTCCCCTCAAAAAAAAAAAAAAATTCTCAGGCTCTCATAGGGTTAGCCCCTTATTCTTAGTACTTGTGATACTGCCACCTGCACAAGGCCAGCTGCAGATTTTGGTGGCCTCAGCTCCAGGTACAAGCTGTGTTTACCAATAGGCAGCCACCCTGCATCTTCAATGCTAAGTCCCTACATGCCTTCCCCACAGGAGGTTGTATACATGGGATATCCAGCTGCAGCTAGCGTTGCAGGTTGGGCACCACCTCTGTGGAGAGCAGTGATCAGGTCTTCAACTCTTCTAGTCTTGAGTCCAGGTCACAGTCCCAGGGGCCAGAAGATGTCCTGCTGTGCCTGGAGAGTCTGACCTTCACTGCTGAATGGAGTCAGAGGAGCCAGGTGACAAACTAGTCATATAAGCATGCCCTACTCATCCTCTCCACCTGGCTAACTAAAAACCCTCTTGTCTGATGCTCTGACCTGAGAATCAGGCTGCTAGGGATGCCTCTCTCCTTAGCAGAATTTATGACATGGTTCTATTGTTTTAGCAACATCCCATTCTTATTAAAGGAATTCATTATTTAGCCTTAATTGGGCATAGATAGCATCAGGGGTTTCCATCTTACATTTGTCTTAAGCACTGAGCCAGGACTTGGGACAGAGGCACTTAAAAGGGGTATGTTAAGCATGCTATAGCCGGTGGCTCACACCTGTAATCCTAGCTACTCAGGAGGCAGAGACTGGGAGGATTGCATTCAAAGCCAGCCCAGGCAAGTAGTTCATGAAACCCTATCTCAAAAAAAAAAAAACCAGCACAAAACAGGGCTGGCAGAATGGCTCAAGTGGTAGAGCACCTGCCTAGCAAGCATGAGTCCCTGAGTTCAAGCCCCAGTACCGCAAAAAAAAAAAAAAGGGAGTGCTATACACTAAGGGCTCACCAAGGTCTCTGGTGCCATGTTGTGTCCAGGACCACCTCTGATTAGTTTGCAGTCTCTGCTGCTGGCACACAGCATTGGGAGGAAAGGATCGAGTAAGGATGCAGGTTCTGTGCCTTCAATGGTTTTTTTTTTTTTTGGAGACAGTTTACCTGATCCCCTCTGAGAATATTTGAAAGGGGTAGGGTATACCCGTGGGGCCAAGTACAGTGAGACCTGCCAGTTGTGCCAAGAATCGCATGGGTGATCCAGATGGGACCCTTTGGCCACTGCTGCAAGGCAGAGACCATGGCCCATAGGGAAATACCCACAGTGCAAAATAGCTGGCCAGGGGTAGCTGTAGCAGGCCATTATGAGCGCACAGCTGGCCTGTACTGCCTCACTAGGCTTCAGCAGGGGTGAATGACCCTGAAGAGTGGGGGACGTAGTGGGGGTGATAATCTGGAGCCTTTCCTAGCACTGCTTTGTGGCACGGAATGCTCTGTGGTTGCTGGGCAACAACACTCTGGTCACCTAGCAACAGCCTGCAGCCTGGCTTCCAGGCTTAGGCCACATTTTATACCTCAGTCCCTCCTCCCCCTTTATCTCTCCACTCCTCTCCATAACCCAGGCTTCTTTCCAGCTTTCCAGTGCACCTCCCCCACCAGCTCCCTGGCCATCTAGTGTTTAGAGAGGGTTGTGGGAGGGCCCTGTACTCTGGGTCTTCACTTTTTCTCAAAGGGAAAAAACAGAGTCATTCCTCTCGTCCTGAAAGGCCTTCAGGGTATTGCAGTCTCTGGCCAGGAATGGGGCTGGCATAGAGTGCAGAGGCCTGGTCCTTGAGTTCTGAAAGAACCCATTCTTGCTGCTACTGACAGTCACCAGAGCCTCTAGGAAGGACTTGCTCTGTGCTGAGAAGGAACTGAGGGATGTGTTCACAGGGTAGGTTAGGCTGGAGAGGAGGATTCAGCCTTGTGACTTCTGAGCTCTCGGAGAACAGGCCACTAGGTGGGCCTTAGATCCGTATCTTCCTATCATCAATTGGGCAGAGAGACCTTCCACACCTCTCTGGTAAAGGGCTCTTGGTCCTCAGCCTGAAGTGACCTGCTTCTTGACCTATCTTGATATTCAAGAGACACTGATGGTTTGTGGTAACAGACTAAAGGCCCAAACCTACATGCTCACATGTAGATTGTTGCCTACCGATTGTCACCTCTTGTCCCATGAACATTTGCTTACCTCTGCCAGGAACACTAACAAAACAACCCTTCTGCCCTTGTCAGCACCCAGCACTGACAGGTACTCAGAGGATTACTAAAGAGTTGAGCTGCTAGAGCGGGCCCTGGCTGGGGACATCCCCTCCCTCCCCTACCCCCAGCTCCTCAATCTGTCAAAGCACACAGGAGCAAAGAGGAAGCAGAGAAGAGGCGAGCATCGTGGTGACACTCCCAGGCAAGTAGGGGCAACCAGCTGACTAACTGGATGACCTGTGTGGTGGTCCAGCAAGTTGGGCAGCCACATCTCTGTTTAGGCAATGTTGTGGCACAGTGCCATAGCTTGGGGAATGGGCATGCATCATGTGGGACCTGAGGGAGCCCCTGCCGTGCCATCACTCCACACCACCACCAGCAGCCACAGCATTCTTTACATCACCTGCTTATTCTTCCCAGGCCTTAATGAGCTGGTCTTTATAGGGCTGTACCGAGGAACAAATAGAGGAGGTGGTGTTTGCAAAGCTCCCAGGTGCCTGTGCCCACCTGGTCAGGCCCCAACATGCTGACTGGGCTGTTTGGTTTTGATTAGCACATGGTGGGGAGGTATAGATGCTGATGGTATTTCCACTGGGCCTGTGAATTTTTGGCACCTAAAACTGAAGAAACCTGGGCCTGTTTTCCTTTTCTGGCTTTTCTTTTAAGTTGTATGTGTTAAGCAATCATGAGGTGACTCTAGACTAGCAATTTTCTCTAACCCATTGTCCAGCAGTGCTGTCTCCCAGTTGTTGGCTTACACCCTTTCTGGATTTGATGGGTTTCAGGGTTCTGCAGGTCAGAAGTGGGGACCTAGGTCCTGTCCTCAGTGTGATTAAATCTGGGTTCATCTTACTTACCCCTGGAAGCTTGATCTAGTCACGAGCATGGATTCCAGGTACAACAGCCTGGATGACCTTGGGCAAATCACTGATCTCTCTGTTCTTGGGGTTTCTCATGGATTTAGAAAGGCAAGTTAATGGGGGCCTGGTCTAGAAAGAGTGTAGGGATTAAGGAGTTAATGCATATGAAGTGCTTAGGACAGTGCCTTGGGCAGAATCTGTGCTACCCAAGTGTGATCTGCTGTGATCACTATTTAAAACATGCCCCATCCTGGCTCTGAGGAGCCATTTTCCTTCCTTTTGGCAGTGACTACAACTTCATGCTGGGAGTATAACTGAAGGAAGTGGCAAACTACTCTGCAGGTGGCAATGTGGCCCTTCCTCTGTGTGCCTCTTGTTCCCCAAGGAAGTCCTCTTCTTAGGAACAAGGGAAGGAAGCAGGGCCCAGGCTTCTGCCATGAAAGTACCTTGGGCAACTAAGATATGGAGTCCCCAAATGTAAGACTCAGAGCCCAGCTCCACCAAGTCACCTACCAGCTAGGGCTGGTATGTGGGCATCCAGCCGCTGAGGCCAAGCCCCAAGCTTGACTGATCTTTTCTCAGGGACTTAGCAGCATAGAGAAGGTACTGAGTAACCCCTACTGACATCTCAGCCCTGGCAACTCAGCCTTGGTGAGATGACCAACACCTAATTACTTATGCAAGAGAATGGAGGGTGAGGCCTTTGGATTGGTTTATAGCATCTGGGTATCTTGTGCTTTGTTTAGTTTTATTGGAATAATGGTGAAAGAAAAAAAAATGAAAGCAAGGGTTAGCCACCATCTCCCTACTCTAAAAATATATGTCCAGTAAGGAGATGGTCAGACTTCTGCCCTTCAGGTCTACTCTCTGGCCTCAGTCCCATCCCAAGGAGGGTCATCCCATATCCAGCTTAGCTCCAGCTTGCTCCCAGGTCCCCCATGAAAAATGTGTGCTGTCATCAACAAGAAGGTCCACATTCCAATACTTACAGGTCAACATAGAGTCCAGAGCAGATTTAAATCTGTGTGTAAAGTCCTTCATACCTGTGGCTGCTGGGGGGGGCAGGAAGCACCCCAGAAATCCTTCAGGGAGGGGGGGCACTTGGTGCACAGTGCTCCTGCTCAGTGCTTGGTCTCACCCACCCCCTTTTCTGGCAGAAATCCCTGGCTTCCTGAGTGATGAGGAGTGTCGGCTCATCATCCACCTGGCACAGATGAAGGGCTTACAGCGCAGCCAGATCCTGCCCACCGAAGAGTATGAGGAAGCAATGGGCACTATGCAGGTCAGCCAGCTGGACCTCTTCCGGCTACTGGACCAGAACCACGATGGTCGCCTGCAGCTCCGAGAGGTTGGGAGCCTGAGGCTTGAGTAGGCCCAGGGAAGGAGTAGCCCTGCCACTTATCTAGTTCAACCCTGTCCCCTATAGTCAGATGCCATTCCGGCCCATTTCTGTCTGGAAAACCCCTTCCTGCCTTAGAAATCCCAGAGGATGGCAGAATAATACACCTGGGGGTGGCACTTACCACCAGTTTTTGAGTGGCATACTTTCCATACTCTGGATTCCTTGCTTCCATGTTTGGGGCCTCACAGAACTCATGGTGGACAGGGTGGCAGCTCTGAGATTTATAGAAGCCCACATCTCTCTCTCTCTATGCCCCTTAAACCTGGACTTCTGAGAGAAGTCTGGTGGGGTTGGGGTCCATTGCCCACACAGAGCACCTCACTGAGCCTGGTCTTCCTGAGAGTCTGGATGTCATGTTCTGGCCAGGTCTCCTCCTGGTGTCTATTCCCTCTTTATAATCAGGCCTTAGCCCTCCCCCACCTTCGCCTGGGGTATCTGAGTGTGACACAGGCCTACCCTTCACTCTGCCTCCAGCTAGCCACCAGTGCTCCCCTGAAGTGCTGGAACTGAGAATGTCCCTCAGCCCTCTTGACTCCCTTCCTGGCTCTGCCACAGATGCCTCTGGACCTCTCTGTTGACCTTCATTTCAGCCCAGGGGCCTTGGAGTCTGCCCTGTGCCCACGCCCATGTCCTATCCTGGAACCCTTAGCTCTACAATAAGGACTGTGCCATCTGTGCTCTGATGGCTCTTTACCACTGAGGTCACCCCACTGAAGGACCTTCTTGTGCTTTAGGTCCTGGCCCAGACTCGCCTGGGGAATGGACGGTGGATGACTCCAGAGAACATTCAGGAGATGTACTCTGCGATCAAGGCAGACCCCGATGGTGATGGTGAGCTTCTACCCCTTTACAGTTCTGTCCCTGTGATCTACCTCCTACTTCCAGGTGTACCACCTGGAAAACTTGCACCCTTTCCCCACAGCAGGCAGCCACTATGCTCAACTTCCATAGTGGCCAGAGATGAGGAGGTGAGGAGCCAGCTTTGCCCTTCACCCCTGAGAGGTAGGCAGGCAGCCAGATCCCTTGGTGACAGTTTAGAAGGAAATTCCTGGAGACCCTGTGACCTCATCAGAGTCTTGTGAACCCAGAGTGAAGAATGACTGTAGGGCTGTCATACTACCCCTCACCATAGAGCTGATATCAGGCTTATAGCCCTTGAAAGTCCCCCACCTTCAAAGGAGTCTGGGCCAAAGGGTATAAGGTGCTCCATGCCAGAATAACATGGAGCAAAGACACCAGCTACTCTTCCAGAACCTCAAAAGGGTGGAGCCCCTGCTTTGTGGTTTGGGCAGTAGCAGGGAAGAATGTTCTCTTGTGGGCAGTGGCCTGAATTTCTTTGCTAAGGTGGTCTAGTAACCAATCAGGGAGGTCTGGTAAAGTGGGTTCCACCTAAGATGGGACCTGAACTCATGAGGAACCTCTGGGGACTGGCCCTGCTTTCACCCTACCGTGTAGAAAGCCCTAGAGAAGACCCAGCACTGGCTGTTCTCTTTCCTTACTCTCTATAGATTCTGGAGTGTAGTCACCATACTTTTTTCTTTTTGGTGGTACTAGGGTTTGTACTGAGGGCTTCTCGCTTGCTAGGCAAGTGCTCCACCACTTGAGCCACACCTCCAATCCCTTATCACCACACTCTTCTATATCACCAGGTTGGAGAGCGTGGAGTGTACCTTGGTACAGGGCCCTGGCCATAATGGCTCAAGCTTCCTTTGGAGACCTTTCTCTGGTACTCTAATAGGGTTGGGCTTCTTCCTTTTGGGGACCAAATCAAGGCATAAACAGAAAACAAACTTCTCTGGGTCTTCCCTTAGGGCCCGATGTGACAGAAACCAGGTTCATCTGACCCAAGAGTCCAGGTGGGGACAAGTGCACATGGCCCCCCAGTGCCTGAGGCCAGGGGCTGCTGCTGCCTTTGGGGTAGGTAGGGAGGTACTGCCTGGCACTGTGGTCTCCCCACATGGGCCTGGCAGGTACTGATGGCGCATGATCCATGCAGGAGTGCTGAGTCTGCAGGAGTTTTCCAACATGGACCTTCGAGACTTCCACAAGTATATGAGAAGTCATAAGGCCGAGTCCAGTGAGCTGGTACGGAACAGCCACCACACATGGCTCTACCAGGGTGAGGGTGCCCACCACGTCATGCGTTCGATCCGCCAGAGGTGAGCACCTGAGGTTGTACCCCTGGGGCAGGGCCTTCACAGAAGTTCCTGGCTGGGGCTGAAAGAACAGAATTGATTAGCCAATTTGGGGTTAAGTTTCACTTGTTAGGCTAGGATTTGAACCCACTGAAAGACAGGTAATTAAGAAAGGCAAATTAGCCTTGGTTGTGCAAACAATATACAATTGGAATTAAAAAGAAATCATTTGTTTGCTGCTAATTGGAGAAATGAGCCCTTATAGCTGCTCACAGGACCCCCTGCTGTTCAGTCAACAGGGGTTTTAAATAAGCAATCTTTTTTTCTTCACTTCTCCCCATCCTTCCAATTTAGCAGAAATCTCATTTTTCCTACCCATTGAGTGTCTCTGTGTCTGGCATCCAGGGCTCATCATGTCCTGCTCTTACAGGGTCAGTCTAAGATGGCTTATGGGATTTCCAAGAGAAGTGGTCAGGGGTAGAGCTTGTGGCAGACCCAGGATCCACCTTGGTCAGCTACTTTAGGCTCCCACCTTCCATGGGACTGCCCAGCTGAATGCCTGCTGCCCACCAGGGTACTGCGCCTCACTCGCCTGTCACCGGAGATTGTGGAGCTCAGTGAACCACTGCAGGTTGTGCGATATGGTGAAGGAGGCCACTACCATGCCCATGTGGACAGCGGGCCTGTGTACCCAGAGACCATCTGCTCCCATACCAAGCTGGTAGCCAGTGAGGCTGTACCTTTTGAGACCTCCTGTCGGCAAGTACCTCTTACCTGGGGCTGGCTTCACTTCTCAGACCAGGCATCCCCCTGTCACAAGTACAGCCTGGCCCTGGGGGAAGGCCCCTTGGCATGGGGCCAGGAGCACACTGGGCCATCCTAGTCAATGATATCCCTTCCTTTCTCTCAAGTCTCTCCCTTACTATTTACCAAGTGGCAGGAAAAGGGTGGCTACTGGCCTCAAGTCAACATAGACAAAGGTACTCACAGACACTGTAACTTGTCCCCAGAGCTCTGAAGCAAGGGACAAGGTTGGACTCACAGCTCTTTCTGACTCCCCCCTCCCAGGTGTTGATCTTGATTCTACTACTGGTTGTCTCAGTCTCACTTTGTAAAGCTGTACCCTCTCCTCTTCGTGTAGCTACTCTGGTTCGGTCCCTTCCAGTTCCCCAGGAGCCCTTCTGCATGATCTTCCTGCTTGTACACACTTACCTTTCCTAGGCAGGTCCTTAGTCAGGGCTATGTGATTTAGCTAAGTGGACCTGTGATTTTGGCCAAAAAAGTATTGGCATGCCAGTAAGAGACTGGATCTGTCAGAAAAAGGAGGAGCTAGGGACATTTTGGTACTGGCCTACCCTGTTGTCAACTATCCCAACCTGTCCCTGTGGCCCTGGAAACCTGGGCATTTTATCTTGCCCACAAGTAAGCCCCTGGGAACATCCACAGTTGGGGACCTGCTCAGCAGCCCCCCTGCCTTACAGCTACATGACAGTGCTGTTTTATTTGAACAACGTCACCGGTGGGGGCGAGACTGTCTTCCCTGTAGCAGACAACAGAACCTACGATGAAATGGTAAGGGCCAACGGGCTATTACTCTTGTGGGCTGGCAGGGCCTTGGGCAAGTGTACTACACACCCCTCCAGACCTGGGATGAGAGCCCAGGTGGTCCCCTGGGCACATTTGCCTGTTTTCCTTCTGGCCACCTTTGACTTCCTGGCCACACACTGGGGGGTGGGGAGCAACCTGAGAACTCCATCACCTGCTGCCCACAGAGTCTGATTCAGGATGACATTGATCTCCGTGACACTCGGAGGCACTGTGACAAGGGGAATCTTCGTGTCAAGCCCAGGCAAGGAACAGCAGTCTTCTGGTACAACTACCTGCCTGATGGGCAAGGTGAGAGCCTATGGCCAGGCCAGGATGTCCCTGAAAGTAGCTTCTCCTTACCCATGCCCTGTCTGCCATTTTGGAGGGCTGTTTCTGGCTGCCCTCCAGATGGTTTTCGACCTCCCAAACATCTTTTAGTGACTTCATCAGGCCATCCCAATACCTGTGCAGTCTCTTGGGTTATCTCCACCCCTGTCATTCTAATGCCTGCTCTGCCTTCCTGCTGTCTGAGAGATTGGGGACACATGTCTCTTATCAACTCAGGCTGGGAAGAGCTGTAGAGAGGCTCAGTAGCAAGAAAGCTGGTTTCAGAGTGCCAGGGGTGTTGATCATAAATTTCTGGAGATGCTGAGCCCTCAAGAAAGCCTTGAAGATGGGTGTTTGCTACCCAAAGTATATGCATGGTGCATGGCTGGGCCTACCCTTGCCATACCCTTGGTCTAAGGATACACTCAGGCCAACCCAGCCTAGAGACCCTCCCAAGCCGTCCTTTGCTCCTACCAATCTCTTCTCCTAGGTTGGGTGGGCGATGTGGATGACTACTCGTTGCACGGGGGCTGCCTGGTCACACGCGGCACCAAATGGATTGCCAACAACTGGATCAATGTGGACCCCAGCAGGGCACGGCAAGCCCTGTTCCAGCAGGAGATGGCGCGCCTGGCCCGCGAAGGTGGTGCCGACTCGCAGCCAGAGTGGGCCCTGGACCGGGCCTACCGTGATGCGCGCGTGGAGCTTTGAGGGGAGGGTCAGTTGTGGACCACCCTCAATCCAAGATCTAGGGCCCAGCTGGTTCTCTGTCCTACTGCAGACTAAAGTTCTGGCTGATGTCTTTCTCCACTCCTGCCTCCAGCCGCGATTATGCGAAGTTCCTATATTCATGTTATTTATTGTGTACAGACCCCAATGCTGCTCTGTCAAATAAAATTAACAGGGCTTCAACCCACTACACCTACAACTACCGCCTCGGCTGTGGGGAGGACTCCCTGCAGGCTTCCTGCAGCCCGCAGCGCGCCACAGGTGTCACGTGATGGGGAGGAGGGGGGTTGAAGCTCCCTCCGCGGGCTCAGCCAATCATAAGCCGGATTGTGTGGGGCGCAGGGTCGTCATTGGACGCCCGCAGCCCCGGCCGTCCTGGTCTCTGCTACCTGTAGCTAAGGGTGCAGTTGTTCGGCAAGGCAGAGCGCTGAAAGGGCTCGTTCTCGCGAGAGTACAGCTCCCTCCTTGTCCTTAGCAGCGGCTACAGCTAGAGGACCATCATGGACGCTCTGGAGGACTACATTTGGCCGAGGGCAACCTCTGAGCTCATACTCCTCCCGGTCACGGGTCTGGAGTGCGTGGGGGACCGGCTGTTGGCGGGTGAGGCTTGGCTCGAGACGCACTAAGCGGGCGAAGAAACAGCGCCCGCCTGGGGCGGGGCCATAGGGACAAAGGGATGCCCCAAGGAAGAGGACGGACAACGGGGTGGGGATGGGGAGAGGGATGAGGCCAGGTCTGAGGTGGGAAGGGAGCCCAGGGAATGGGGGGCCAACCTGAGGAGGGCGGGACTAGAAAGACAAAAAGCTGATGTGGCTATTGTACGTAGCCCTTCTTCCTAATCTGTAGCCAACGTGGAAAGGGTGGGTAGAGACGCGAGAAGTGTGGGAGAACGCAAGTCGTCTCGTATGGGGGGAGAGGGGTGTGCGATCCCTCAGATAAGCTCAGAAGGCCACGATGGGTGAGGAGGTTAAAAAAAAAAAAAGGTGCCCCAGGGGGCGTGGCAGGGGTGTGTGACTCCCGGCTGTAATCCCAGCACTTAGAAGATTGAGGCAAGAGAACCCCGATTTGGAGACCAGCCTGGAGTTACACAGCGAGAGACCCTGTCTCAAAAAAGGAAAAAAATGGTGTCCTAGGGAGCGTGGCAGGGTTGTGGCCTTGGGAAACCCCTACCCCACCTTCTGAATATGAGGGGCATAAAGGGTGAAAAGGGTGGGGTCGTCAAAAATTGAGCACGAAACTCTTCTGAGGCTAGCACTGCACAGAGGCGGGGACTGAGGCCCTTCCTGAGATGGTTGGTTCCCTCCAAGGACTAGGTTGGGAAACACAGGCCCTAGTGTCTGGTTGCAAAGACCTGGGACCTGAGGTGTCAGAGTCGTGGGGAATAGTGAGGCCTGACATGAAGCCACTGATGATGGTGTTGTGATTTTTATAAGGGTCTTGAGGCTGAGCACTGGCTGTCAGACCTTGAGTGAGCCACCATCAGCCCCAAGAGGGTCATATGTATGTGCCTGTGGCAGGGATATAGTCTAGTTTTGATACGGTGTGTGGGCTGCCAGAACTCAGGGTTCCTACAATGACCTAACTCTGGAGGAGGGGACAGCTAAAGCAGAAATCCAAAGAACCACAAGAGTGAACTAGGAGAAGAGAAGGGTGAGTTTCTGGCAGAGGGTAAAGAGTGTTAAAGGCCTTGAGGCAGAGAGAATTTGTCTCTTTGTGGGAAAGGGAGAATTCTTGTGAGGCTGGAGTGGGAATGGGAGTGGCCTGGAGGGAAAAGAAGCTGGAGAATAAAGTAGAGGCTAGATTGTTTTATGCCTTGATTTGCCTTTATTCTGAAGGGCAGTGAGGAGGACCCATTAAATAGTTTATTTTCTTTTTCTTTTTTTTATGGTGCTGGGATTAAATTCAGGGCCTCTCATGTGCTAGGCAAGCATGCTACCTGAGCTACATCCCCAGCCCAAAGTTTTTTTTTTTTTTTTTTTTTTGACAATATTTGGGTTTGAACTCAGGGTCTCATGCTTGCTTGGCAGGCACTCTACCACTTGAGCCTCTCTACCAATTCTTTTTTGTGTTGGATTTCTTTTTTTTTTTTTGAGATAGGGTATCATGAACTATTTCCCTGGGCTAGGTTCAAACTGCAATTCTCTTGAATAGCTAGGATTACAAACATGAGCCACCATGCAGGGCCTTGTTTGTTTTGTTTAAAGGGAAAAAATAACTTACTGGGTCTTTCATTTAAAAAGTCAGGGATATGGGCTGGTGGAGTGGCTTAAGTGGTAGAGTGCCTGCCTGGCAAGCACAAGGCTCTGAATTCAACCCCCAGTACCACCCAAAAACAAAAAGGATGTCAGGGGTAGGACTAGGATTGTAGACACTTGCCTAGCATATGCAGGCAGGATTCTTTTTTCCAGATCTGCAATAAAATAGGTAGGGCTAGGGTTGTAGCTCTGTGGTAGAGTGTTTCACTAGCTTGCATGAGGTGCTGGGTCCCATTCTGAGCTATGCAAAAAAAAAAAAAAAAAAAAGTCAGAGGTCCTTATAGTAATAACTGATTCTGGCTCATTGAGTCAACAGGACTCTACCTTTCCCCAGATCTTGGTTTCTTTCCAGTTTCTGTTGGTTCTCCCGTCATAGTGCCATTTAAGGGTCTAACCCCTGTTAGAAAGTACTCCAAGGGAATTCACCTGTTCTTCTGGCTTCCAGAGTGACTTTTGTATAGCTACCATCATCTTTCTTCCTTCTTTTTCCCTTCCCTCCTTTTCTTTTCTTTTCCCTTCCCCTTCCTTGCCCTCCTCTCTGCTCTCTTTCTGTGCTGGGGATTAAACCCAGCTCCCAGGGCTTCTTGCATGCTGAGCACATCCTGTATCACTGACCTGTATACCCAACTCATGGCTGCAGTTCTTAAATTGTACCCATGTGCACTCATAATCTGAATTCCTAGTCCTGTTCTTATAAGTTCCAGGCCCAAGTACACAGTACTTATAAATAGAAATACTTCTACCACTTTCAGTGGTCTTCCTGCTAGGTAGTCTAGCTGTGCAGGGGGACTACCAGCTACTCAGGTTCCTAAGCCCAAGAATCAGCCTCCCTCTCCAAGTCTGTCTAGTTGCCTTTGACTTCACATGTGCGACACTTGTCTATTTCTCTGCTTTTATGTCATCATGCTACACAACCCCATCAGTAGCATTCTCTCTGACCCATTCCTTTTTTTTTTTTTTCAGTACTGGGGCTTGAACTCAGGGCCTCACACATGCTAGGTATGCACTCTACCAGACTTGCTTTGTGTTGGCATTTTTAAGGTTCTCACAAACTGTTTGCCTGGGCTGGCTTTGAACTGTGATCCTCCTGATCTCTGCCTCCCAGGTAGCTAAGATTACAGGTGTGAGCAACTGGTGTCTGGCTCTGACCCATTCTTGAACCCTTCATTTCCTTCCACACTACCCAAAGCTTTTGCTAATCTTAGGGCCATCCAACCTGATGTTGGTCTGCCAAGAAAGTTGTAGCCATCCCCCCTCCTTTTTTCTGACTGACTGCCCTTTGTGTGTGTGTGTGTGTGTGTGTGTGTGTGTGTGTGTTACTGCGGATTGAACCCAGAACCTCACACATGCTAGGCAAGTGTTCTACCATTGAGCTACAAACATACCCCTTTTTAATTTTTTATTTACTTTTTTTTTTTTTGAGTATGGAGTTTGAACTCAGGGCCTACACCTTGAGCCACTCCACCAGCCCTTTTTTGTGATGGATTTTTTTCAAGATAGAGTCTCTCCAATTATGTGCCTGGGCTGGCTTCGAACTGTGATCTTCCTGATCTCTACCTCCTGAGTAGCTAGGACTACAGGCATGAGCCACTGGTGCCTGGCTTGCAAATTATTTAGAAAATGAAATCTAACCTATAGCCCTTGGACAGACTGAAGCGCGTGGTCTGCTTTTCAGAATAACGTTTACAAATGAATAAAAGAAAATGCATAGAATTGTAAAAAAAACAGTTAATTTGAAATAAAGTTACCAGAATACTTAAAAAGCAAAAAAAAGAAAAAAGAAAATGAAATCTATAGAACTTGGAAATAGAGAAGTTGTGCAAAGTTAAGAGAGGAATAATCTGTTGGCCCTCTGGGTTTGGGCTGGGGGATGGGCAGAGGGTGGTAATGATCACTGGGCTGAGGAACTGAGGGGACTTGGGGAGGAAGGATTTGGGTGTTGGGTTCTATATAGGTGGGGTGTAGGAGGCTGCTCAGGAAGCATGTGAGTTTATACTGAGGCAAGCACTGGACAAGCCTCTGTGAGCACCAATTAGGGGAGACTTAGAAAAGGGGAGGAGGGAACCAAGGAGAATACATACCACAGAAATAAGAATTTACTTTTTATTTTGTTTGTGCTGTTTGCCAAACCCTGGCCAGGGTCTGGATGACTATACCTCATGTGTGCCTTCTGAGGGCTCTTGTGTGGCTGCCATGTTGGAGCTCTCTAAGCCTCAGCCTTATACACAGAGCGGGGATTCATGGCTGGTCCATGATAGAGCTAGGACTCAAGGCCAAACCCCTGCCACCAAATTGTGGGCTGTCTCTGCTACTTCCCTCCCTTGGTACTGAGTATGTTCACATCTCTGTGACACAGGGAGCAGGCTTTTGGAAATTAGGAGGGATGTTGCCATGGGCCCAAGGAGAAAAAGGTTAGCATACTCTTTCCCTAGGAAAGGGAGGATGAATAGAGAGACAGATGAAGCTGAGGGTTTGAGGACTAAAGCTGAGGAGGAGGAGGGAGTTCCCATCTGAAGTGTGAGGATACAGGGTAAGAGGGAGACTTGAGTTTGAGGAACTCGAGGGTGAACTGGATATCAAGAGTGATTGATGAGCCAGGTGTGGTGGCTCACATCTATAATCCCAGCTATTTAGGAGAAAGAGATTGGGGAAACCATAGTTTGGGACTATCCAGGGCAATAAGTTAATGAGACCCTCCCATCTCAACAAATAAGGAAGGCATAGATAGGTAGGAGGATCAGGGCCTGAGGTCTGCTCCAGGCAAAAAGCAGGAGACCTTATCTGAAAAATAACCTGAAGCAAAATGGTCTGGAGTGTTGCTGATGTGGTAGAATGCCTTCCTAGCAAGCATAAGGCTGGAGTTCAAATCCCAGTACTGTTAAAAAAAAAAAAAAAAGAAACAAAAGAAAAAGAAAGAGTGATTGATGAGCTCCTAACACACAGGAGGCAGAGGCAGGAGGATTGAGAGCTAGAACCTGTCTCAAAACAAAAAGCCTAACAAAAAAGTGATTGACAAGGGTAGCAGAAAGCTGCAGTAGAAGTCCAGCTGTGTCCTGATAGGTTCTTGGGCTATGTGCTGAGATGTTTCCCCGTCCCCACCTGTTCTCCCATGGGTCTTCAGATTCAGTGGTTCTGATGTGGCTCTTTGCCTCCATCTAGGTGAGGGGCCCGATGTCCTGGTGTACAGCTTGGACTTTGGTGGGCATCTGCGGATGATGAAGCGAGTACAGAACCTGCTTGGCCATTATCTTATCCATGGGTTCCGGGTGCGGCCAGAGCCCAAAGGAGACCTTGACTCGGAAGCCATGATAGCTGTGTTTGGGAGCAAGGGACTCCGAATTGTTAAAGTTAGCTGGGGTGAGAGCCGTTTCCGGGAGCTCTGGCGTTCTGGCCTGTGGAACATGTCTGACTGGATCTGGGATGTACGCTGGCTCGAGGGCAATGTTGCCTTGGCCCTGGGCCACAATTCAGTGGTGCTGTATGACCCTGTGATAGGGTGCATGCTGCAGGATGTCCCCTGCACAGACAGGTGCACCCTCTCCTCAGCCTGCCTGATTGGAGACACCTGGAAGGAACTGACCATAGTGGCAGGTGCTGTTTCCAACCAACTTCTGGTCTGGTACCCAGCCACTGCTTTAACAGACAACAAGCCTGTGGCACCTGACAGACGGGTCAGTGGACATGTGGGTGTCATCTTCAGCATGTCATACCTGGAAAGCAAGGGCTTGCTGGCAACGGCTTCAGAAGACCGAAGTGTTCGTATCTGGAAGGTGGGCGACCTCCGGGTGCCTGGGGGTCGGGTACAGAATATTGGGCACTGTTTTGGGCATAGTGCCCGTGTGTGGCAGGTCAAGCTCCTAGAGAATTATCTCATCAGTGCAGGCGAAGATTGTGTCTGCTTGGTGTGGAGCCATGAAGGTGAGATTCTCCAAGCCTTTCGGGGCCACCAGGGCCGTGGGATCCGGGCCATAGCTGCTCATGAGAGGCAGGCATGGGTAATCACTGGGGGTGATGATTCAGGCATTCGGCTGTGGCATCTGGTAGGGCGTGGGTACCCAGGCTTGGGAGTCTCGGCTCTCAGCTTCAAGTCCTCTAGCAGGCCAGGTACCCTCAAGGCCGTGACTCTGGCTGGTTCTTGGCGACTGTTGGCAGTGACTGATACAGGAGTCCTGTACCTCTATGACTTCGAGGTCAAGTGCTGGGAGCAGCTGCTAGAGGATAAGCATTTTCAGTCTTACTGCCTGCTGGAGGCAGCTCCTGGTCCTGAGGGCTTCGGACTGTGTGCCATGGCCAATGGGGAGGGTCGTGTCAAAGTTGTCCCCATCAACACTCCAACTGCTGCTGTGGACCAGATCCTGTTCCATGGGAAGGTTCACAGCTTGAGTTGGGCCCTGCGTGGCTATGAGGAGCTCCTTTTGCTGGCTTCTGGTCCTGGTGGTGTAGTGGCTTGCTTGGAGATCTCAGCTGCACCCTCTGGGAAGACCATCTTTGTCAAGGAACGTTGCCGATACCTGCTACCCCCAAGTAAGCAAAGATGGCACACATGCAGTACCTTCCTGCCCCCGGGTGACTTCTTGGTGTGTGGGGACCGCCGTGGCTCTGTGCTGCTATTTCCCTCCAGACCAGGTCTGCTCAAGGACCCTGGGCTTGGAGGCAAGGCTGGGGCTATTGTTGAGGCACCTGGAGCAGGTGGTAGCAATGGTAGGAGCGAGAAAGATGCATCTGGGTGGGGCCCTGTGTCTACCCTCCATTCTCTGCATGGGAAGCAGGGTGTGACCTCAGTCACTTGCCATGGTGGCTATGTGTACACCACCGGGCGTGATGGTGCCTATTACCAGCTCTTTGTGCGAGGTGGCCAGCTCCAGCCAGTCCTAAGACAGAAGTCCTGTCGAGGCATGAACTGGGTGGCTGGGCTTCGAATGGTGTCTGATGGGAGCATGGTCATCCTGGGTTTCCATGCCAATGAATTTGTGGTATGGAGCCCTCGTTCACATGAGAAGCTGCACATCATCAACTGTGGAGGAGGGCACCGCTCCTGGGCCTTCTCTGATACCGAGGCGGCCATGGCCTTTGCCTATCTCAAGGATGGGGATGTCATGCTATACCGGGCTCTAGGTGGCTGCACCCGGCCACATGTGATTCTCCGAGAGGGTCTGCATGGCCGTGAAATCACTTGTGTAAAGCGCGTGGGCACCATCACCCTGGGACCCGAATTTGAGGTACCCAGCTTTGATCAACCTGACTACCTGGAGCCTGGCAGTGAGGGGCCTGGCCTTACTGACATTGTAATCACATGCAGTGAGGACACTACTGTGTGTGTCCTGGCACTCCCTACAACCACAGGCTCAGCCCATGCACTCACATCTGTTTGTAACCACATCTCTTCAGTGCGTGCTGTGGCAGTGTGGGGCATTGGCACCCCAGGTGGCTCTCAGGATGCTTGTCCAGGGCTGACAGCCAATGTAGTGTCTGCAGGGGGTCGAGCTGAGATGCACTGTTTCAGCATCATGGTTACTCCTGACCCCAGCACCCCAAGCCGCCTCGCCTGCCATGTCATGCACCTTTCATCCCACCGGTTAGACGAATACTGGGACCGGCAGCGCAATCGGCATCGAATGGTCAAGGTGGACCCTGAGACCAGGTAATGTGAGCTCCCGGCCAGGGCCAAGGGGTGAGATCATGCTGGGTACACCCCGGGCAGGTGCCCCCAGGCTTGTGGGTTCAACTTGACAGTTTATGTTCTCCCTTTAGGTACATGTCCCTGGCTATTTGTGAACTTGACCGGCCTGGCCTTGGCCCCCTTGTGGCTGCAGCTTGTAGTGATGGAGCGGTGAGGTGAGAGCCTAAGCCCTAGTGGATAGGGAGAAGAGGGTGTGTGGGGTTGTCCAGGATGGGTTCTGAGTTGGGCCATCTCCTGTTCCCCAGGCTCTTTCTCTTGCAGGACTCTGGGCGAATTCTACAGCTCCTTGCTGAAACTTTTCACCATAAGCGGTGTGTCCTCAAGGTCCACTCCTTTGTACATGAGGCACCGAATCAGCAGCGGTGAGAAGGGTTGGATAACAGTCCTGCATGGGCTGGATGAGGGTTCCTGTTGCCCCTGCATTGCTCACTCACCTGGCTGTCCTTTCTTGACTCTCAGGAGGATGTTCCTGTGCAGTGCAGCTACCGATGGCAGCCTGGCCTTCTGGGATCTCACCACTGTGCTAGACCGTGGCTCCACCACCCTGGAGCCTCCAGCACAGCCTGGGCTTCCTTACCGTGAGTAGTTAGTGTGCAAACATGACATCCTCCCCACCTTTCATTTTTCCCTCTCACAAGAGACAGGCAGGATCCTAATAGCTGTCCTGTTTCTTCAGAGCTGGGCTGTCCCTGCATGACCCTCCAGGCCCACAGCAGTGGTGTCAATAGCCTGCATACTCTGCCCACACGTGAGGGCCACCATCTTGTGGCCAGTGGTAGTGAGGATGGCTCCCTCCATGTCTTCGTGCTTGCTGTGGAGATGCCGGAGCTGGAAGAGGCTGTGGGGGAGGCTGAGCTGATGCCTCAGCTGCGTGTCCTAGAGGAATACTCTGTTCCTTGTGCACATGCCGCCCATGTGACAGGCCTCAAGATCCTAAGCCCAAGCCTCATGGTCTCAGCTTCCATTGACCAACGGCTGACCTTCTGGCGTCTAGGGCATGGTGAACCCACGTTCATGAACAGCACTGTGTATCATGTGCCAGATGTGGCCGACATGGACTGCTGGCCTGTGAGCCCTGAATTTGGCCACCGCTGTGCTCTTGGGGGTCAGGGGCTTGAAGTTTACAACTGGTATGACTAAGGTGTCCCGCAGTGGCTGGCCTGCTGGGTATGGGGCCTGCTCATAGACAGTGGAGCAGGGATCTACTGTCTGTGCCTGTGCCCAGTGTGCCTCGAGGGGAGGAGGCAGTGGCCGCGGGTTCCTGACTCCAGAGCAGGAGCTGGAGGTGAGTAAGTGTGCTGCGTGGACAGACCAAGAATACATCCCACTTCCCACAATAGGACAAAACTTTGTAAAAGAAGCAGTTTATTTGGGCTCCATGCTCCTAACATCTGTGGGTTTTGGTTTTTTCAGTTGATGATTTTGTAAATATTCCCGGTTACTGGGCCCTCTGTAGTCTCACATGTGGCTTAGTGGAGGGAGGCCCAGCAGAGCCAGGCCTGTGTGGAGCACCTCACGAACAGCCCTCAGAAGCTGCAGGCGGGCGAACATCTGACCAAAGAGGTGTGGCCGAGGCTCCTGGAGGAGAAGGGACCTGATGGTCTTACCCTCTGCTTCCCTTGTCTTCACCCTGCACCTTTCCCATACCCCCTTTTGCTATGTGCTCACCCCTAGGATGTGTACTCTGTTATAGTATGAGCTGAAATCCATGCTGAGCTGTACCAGGAACTTGCACACCTAGAGATAGAGACTGAGTTACTGGCTTGTGTCTTTGCTTTTGTGTCCCAGCCCAGAATAAAGATTAGAGTGTGTAGTGTCTGTAGTGGTCTTCTGTGCCTCACCATCTCTGTGCGAGCAGTGATGTGGAACCCCGAGGCTCTGGAGGCTAGGACTGCAGTCTGGCTCAGCAGGTCCAGGAAGGGAAGGACACTGTTGAAGAGCAGCAACCACTCACCCTGTGGAGACAGGGGTACTAGGAGGGAAAATCCAAGCATCAGCTTGTGCCAGCTACTTGGGAAGGGTACTTACCTCATCATGTAGCAGCGAGAAGTCCAGACTATTCACAGGTGGAAAAGTGGGGTACAGACCTTGTTCCATACTGTGCTTGTAACTCTCAAAAAGTGTGGCAAGGCGGGCACAATTATACATGACAAAAGTGCCACTCTTTGTGCCCTTTGTGGAGATGCTGCTGTCAGTCAAGAGAAGCTGGGGAATGGAGACACAGCTGGAGCGAGGGTGGATACCACACCCTGTCTCCCCAGCCTTAGTCCCACCAGGTACCCAGGCTCACTTGACTCTGTGCAGCTGTGCTCAGCATCTCAAACTTGATGGTGGCCGCAGAGAGAACCCCAAAGATCTCTGTCCAGATTGGGTCTGTGAGAGAATAGGTTGGTCATTCTGTAGACAAGGAACAAGGGACAGAGGTACAAATGATTTACTCCTACCCCAGGGCACAGACAGGGTCTCCCAGGCTCACCTTGTATCAGATCCCCACCATGCTTCAGTGCTGAGGCCTTGCACATCTGGGCATGCCGAAGCCTGTGTTTTCAAGAGGAGAGCCAGTGGGCAGGGTCCTAGTAAAGACCCTTTAACCCCCATCTCAACTACCCTGGCTCAGGTTAGCCTTCCTTCCAATCTTACTCACTTGTAGTATTCAGGGGCAGTCATCAGAGTGCTGAGTGCACCAGCTATTTTCACTGGGCCACAGACCAGGTGCTTCTGTGGAAGATGGCAGGGGTTCAGCCCAATTGGCACTACCCTCCAGCCATAAGTTTCTCAAGGAGCCCAAGTCTGGTGCCTCTGCTCTACCCTAACTCCCCCAATCTATAAACCAGCTCAATGCTTCCTTCTCAAGTCCAGCTCCTCAGAACACAATCCAGCTTTTTTTTGGAGGGGGGTGGGACGGGGATTTGAACTCAGGGGTTCACACTTGCAGAGTGGGCACTCCACCTCTTGAGCTCTGCCTCCAGTTCATTTTGCTCTGGTTGTGTGCATGGTACTGGGGTTGGAACTCAGGGCCTCACACTTGCTAGGCAGGCACTCTACCACTTGAGCCACTCTGCTAGCCCTTATTCTGGTTATTTTGGAGATGGGGTTTTGACGTTATTTGCCTTGGCTGGCTTCAAACTTTGATCCTCCCATCTCAGCTTCCCAAGTAGCTAAGATTACTGGCATGAGCCACTAGCACTTGGCTCAGTCTAGCTTCTTTATCTTAGACAATGTTCTTGGGATGTGCCTTCAGACTCCATCTTCTCCAGGACCTCTGCACCTGCTTGCTGTACATGCTTCCTGAGTAATTCAGTTTCCTCCAAGGTTAAGTGTCAGTTTCTGAATCCATCAGCTAACAGGCCCCTTGGTGGTTTTCAAAGGCATTCTGAGGTTGGAGGAGCTCCACCATCACTAACCTACCTGGCTAAGAGGAGCCTGGTCATCCACCTTCCACCAAAGTAGGTCCAACTTTTGTTGCTGGAACTCCTCCTCACAGCTCACCACATGTACAACCATGCAGCTGTCTGCAACAGCATCTGGCGTGTCAGCCTTATAAGGGAAGGGTACAGTTACTGCAAAGATGCAGGTTACCTGATTTGCTACAGGCCCACAGAACAGGGAGCCACTGACCAAGCCTGAGTAGCTGCCCTCCCGCCAGTGGCGCACAGCCTCCTGCAACTCAGCTAGCACAGACAGCAGATCCTCAGTCACTGCAAAGGAAACACATGAGCTGAGGTTGGTCAAGGAGTGCAGAAGGACGCGCAGCTTTTCTGGCCCTGCTAGGCTCCAGGTCCTACCTAGACAGTTGTCCACGTTGGGGTCATAGCCAGTCCCTCGGCCCAGTTCTTCCATCAGCTCCTTCAGGCACAGTCTGCCCAAGACGCCGGGGGGCAGTGTCTCCCCGTCATGAACAGGGGTAAGCTCTGTAAGCACACGGCTCCTCAGGGTTTCAGTTGAGGTTCTCTCCAAGGCGGTGGGCCAGTCCACGCGTAGTTTCTCCAGGAAGGTTTGCATATGTGGGTCCCACACTGGGGGCACTAGGCGCACACACACTCTGCGAAACAAGGGCGGCTGCCTCAGCTCGCACACCAGAGACTTCCCTCCCTCTGCTGCTGTCCCCAAAGGTCCCACCTTTCTTCATTCTGGTCTCCAGCCTAGGCTTACCCGTGAGCGCACAGCGCTCGCGCTAGGTGATCAGCCACCAGCACTGCACGCAGCTGGCTCAGGCGGAGAGCGCCAGGGCTGCAGTGCAGTGCCGGGCAGTGCAAGAGCATACGCGGACCTGATGAGGCCGGCTTCGCAGGCGTGGCATAGGAGGTCACAGCGCCCAGTACGCGCTCAAAGACTGCAGTCCGCTGTAGTTGGAGAGACAAACCCGAGGGTGTCGGCTCGCAGCGCAGCACCGGGGCCACACCGGGACCCTGTAGGCAGGCGACAGCACGGAACACGTGTTCGGGTACCTGCGGGAAGACAGGTGTGTGAGTGGACCTCAGCTTCCCTGCCAATCTTGGCCACAAGTCCCAGCCCAGGTCGCGCCCACCTGCCCGTCCCTGAAGCGCGCCTGTAGCGCACGCCGCGGCGCCAAGAAGTCTCTAACACGCAAGTGACGGGCGTGCGTCTCCTTGAACCACACGGGGTCGCCCGGCCCTAGGGCAGCGTTAAGGGCCTCCAGTGTCTCCCCCACCCCAAGGCGCCCTGTCGCCATGACGACCGGAAGGAGTGAGCGGAACAGGAAGTAAAGCATCGGTAAATTTCCGGGAGGGCGGACTGGAGGGGCGGGGATCCGGCAGCTGTCCCCTTGAGTGGATAAGTGCGCCTGGGCAAATCTGGAGGGCTTCCTTCGACCTACCGCTCTCTGCGTGCCCTCCGAGCACTTCTGGGCTCGGGGTCCGCTCCACGCCTAAGGGTCTTTTCGTCGTCTCCCTGCATTAGTAACCTAGGAAAGGATCTTCGCGACCAGGTGTGGGCTCAGGCAAGACTCCTAGTCATCGAGGTCTCACATCTTTGTGTGATGTTTCATTTTTTTCCCATTGTAGAAATGACTTAAACGTCAGAAGTCCCAAATGAGTCGTCATTTGGAATAAGGCAGTAATATTAAAGACACTTTAAAGCTGTACTTTAAAAATCTTTTTTTAAAAAAATTAGTGTTCTGCGGTTTCAGTTAATTGTAAACCTTTCCTCGTTCCTTGTCTTTATTTCCGATAAATTTCCAGTCACATAAAATTGTTCGTTTTCTTGACAGATGAGGAATTAGAACGATCATGATGTTTTCCAGAATTACCAGCTTTTAATGTTTCTCTAACCTGGTGTAATTTACCAGCAATCCTTTGCCGCTTCCTGTTTTAGGAGAAAGCCAGTGTGGGACAACTAAACAATGTGAGCTAAACAGACCTCAGAGCACCCTGCAAAAAACCTCTTTCCTCTTTCTCAAGAGGATTCCCAAATGTTTTCATTTTAATGTAACCTACTTTCCCCCCTTCCCCTTCTAATGGAGCTTGAACCAGACTTGTGATCTCTGCTCTAGAGCAGTGGGAGTGCCAGAGCTCGGGAGAGAAGGAAAATTTAGGGGTAGGAAGAGCTTGGCAAGGCCCCTCTCTGGACCAGGGCTGTGAGGCCCTACTGGGAAGCGCCGAAAGAGCACTGGGCGGACACGACATTCCCGATGGCTTCTTGGGTGCCCACTCAACGGGAGTGATCGTGTCATTCCAAAGCACTTTCCATGCACCAGGCGCATGACCTGGGGACAGCTGCTAGCAGGACTGGGGGCCCACCAGCTAGCTGATGACTTCATTTACTCTCGATCCACGAAGACGGTTAGGGTGGTTTTTTCCCCAGGAAGTGAAGGGCTATCTTTAGTGAGCTGCGGGCTGGGGCGGCCCTGTGGGACTCACCGCCATCGCAGCCCTATCCGGAGCAGCCAGGACCTCCCTTTTCAGTGCTCATTGAAGAGCAGAAAGGGCCACCAACCCCAGCTCTTCGACGTCTGTGCCCGCCACCTCCAGCCTGAGGGCGCACCTGAGAGAGGGACAGACTGGAGAGGTCCAGGAAAGTGTGCCTGGGAGTCGGGCCACCCCATCTGGGCTACAGCGCTGCTCGGGCAGGAGAGCAGGGAACGAAATCCAAGCGCAGCTGGAATGCTCTGGAGACAACAGCTGCTTTTGGGATTCCGTTGCCCGCTGTCCAGCCGTTGGAGGGGGGCTCCTGCCCCTAGGTCACTAGCACTGGGTCCAGACCGGAACTTGCCCACCCTTTCTCAGGAGGCCGACCGGGAGTAGGTGGCGTAACCGAGTATAGTGAGAATGGGCCGCTCACCTGGTCCCCAGAACAATAGAAGGGAAGGTGGGGGCCTCCCCTGGGACCAAGTCCCGATCCGGATTAGATCCGGAGGGCAGGATTAGCACTGTGGGTTCCACGCAGCCCGAGCCACTGGTGCGGTGACGGCGGCGGGGCGGGCTTCGGAATCCGCCAAGAGGGAAGCGCGCCCGTGGGGCCGGAGAGGAAGTAAACCCGCGCGTACACTTCGGAGACACCCCCGCGCTTGGGGCCCTTTGTCCGGTGACGCTGCCAGAGCCAGGAGCGCTAGGGGCCGAAAGGGGCCCACAGTGCTCGGCAGGAACCCCCCGAAAATCACTGCGACCGGCCCTGGCAGAACCACCACCAGGCCCAGACTGTGCAAACATCCCGCCCGTCTGACCCCTCGAACGCGACAATGTTCCCCTGAGGCCACGACAGAACCGGCGCGGTGAGATGGCCAAACCCCGCGCGGCGCAAGCGACTCTTGCGCCAGTAGGCCCTTGACTCGGCTCAAGACTGGGGGCAGAAGACACTCAGGACGTGCGAGCAGAGTGAGCGAAGACAAGGCGATGCTGCAGGCGCTGTGTAGCTCACGTCTGGTCCGGTTCGGCCCGGTCAGCCCCACCCGAACAGCTACACCAGCAGTAACAGAGCATGCCCTTCCGCTGGCTCTAGCTGTCCGCAGACTTGGAGCCATTTTAAGGCGAAACCACCTGGCCACGCCCCCTCACGCTCCCGAGAAGCCAATCCACGCGCGGCCACGCCTCCCGCAGCGCACGGCGACGCCGCCAACGGTCGCGCGGGTGACGGTTGGGGAGGGTAGTGATTCCCAAACCAGAAGAGGAAACCTTAGCCATCTGCCCCGCCCACGGGGCCCGACACCCCAAAGCCTGGGATTAGGGGCCTAGAGGCTGGAACCGCACCTTGGCCAGGTGTGCAGGAATAGGACCAGGTGCGCTGCTGCCCCGCCCCATACTCTGCGAGCCCTGCGTAATGGCTGAGAGCCCGGGGGCCAGGCCGCGGTTCGGGTTCAGGCAATGCCCAGAGGGCGGCCAGGCTACCAGGTGTCTCCACTCCCTCGGGACGGCCGGCGGGGCTCTTGGGCGGGGCAAACAGCAGGTGCTGATACCAGAGCCGCACCGGGGGACTGGACCCCCAGACAGATGTCACTGCCCGCTGGACCGGCTGAGCTGCGTGGTGCCTCCGGGACGCGTGGGGCGCTGTAGGTGCTCTGGGCCAGACTCCTCTACGATTCTACTAAACCTGTGGCGGACTCGCTACGCGAGGGGCAGTCATGGCCGCCGCTTTCGCGCTTCGCTTCCTGCATCGAGCGCGACTGGCGCCGCGCTGCTCGCACGTTGAACTGCCATGGTAAGCCGGTATCCCGGGCGCCTGACCATCCAGCCCCCAGGGGCGGCGACCCTCGGCCCCGACCTTCCGACCCCTTAACCATTACATTCTGGGACATGCGCCCTTGACCCCATCCCTCTGCAGGGTCCCTCGGCGTGGGCACCGACTGTCGCCGGCCGATGACGAGTTGTATCAGCGGACGCGAATCTCTCTGCTGCAACGCGAGTTCCCTCACGCCATGTACATCGATAGCTACAACAGCCGCGGCTTCACGATCAACGGAAACCGAGTATTTGGGCCTTGCGCGCTGCTCCCGCACTCGGTGGTGCAGTGGAATGTGAGCTCTGCCTCGCAGTGAGGAAACTGAGGCCCATAGTAACAATACCGCTCTGTGCTTGTGTCTCTGGCAGATTTGGTTCTCCCTCTTGCCCTGTGAGGCGTTAATTTTTTTTCTTTGGGTGGTACTGGGGTTTGAACTCAGGGCTTCCGCTTGCTAGGCAGGTGCTCTACCACTTGATCCTTGCCTCCAGCTCCGGAGTGATGATTTGTCATTTTGATTCGCCCCCCTCCCATACAGGTGGGATCCCACCAGGACATCACTGAAGAGAGCTTCTCCCTCTTCTGGATGCTGGAGCCCCGGATAGGTACTTAGTCCCAGAAAGCCCCCTCCTACCCTACACCCTCCCCAGGCCTGGTTGCAGGGTAACTGCGTCTCCCTTCCCTAGAGATTGTTGTGGTGGGCACTGGAAACAGGACTGAGCGTCTGCACTCCGAGATGCTACGGGCCATGAGGCAACGGGGCATTGCTGTGGAAGTGCAAGACACGGTAGGTGCCAGGACTTGGAAATCCTGCATGGGGACCTCAGGTTAACCATAGGCATACTAATGCTGCCCTTTTCATTGCAGCCCAATGCCTGTGCCACCTTCAACTTCCTGTGTCATGAAGGCCGAATGACAGGAGCTGCTCTCATCCCTCCACCTGGAGAGACTTCACTCACAAATGTGGGCCAAGCTGCAGAATGAACCAGGAACTGTCTAGAAGGGCACTGGGAATTTGCAGAGCACAGTCATTCCCAGTGTTTTCACTACCCTTGTCATTCTTGCCAGGATAATAATTCATACACTTTCCATTGTGTATCAGGTGTGTTGCTGGCTGAAGACTGCTGAGTCAGGGGGCTTTTTGTTGGGGGGGGGGCAGTTAAGAAGAATCAAGAAGGTCACTCAGTGGCACGGTGCCACATCTGCTTGCTCACATGCATTTTTTTTTTTTTTTAAATGGGACTGAAGTTTGAACTCAGGGCTACATGCTTGCAAAGCAAACACTCTTGCTGCCTGAGCCACATCTCCAGACAAATTTTGCCCTTGCTTATTTTGGTGATGGGATCTTACGAACTTTGCCTGGGCTGGGCTCCAACTGCAATCCTCCTGATCTCAGCCTCCCAAGTAGCTACAGTTGTGAGCCACAAGGCTGGCTCACATGCAGATTTGAAGTGACCCCAGTGGCTTTCCCAGAATTCTTTAGAACACCAAGTTAGGGAGTATGTATGCATGTTATAACCTAGTCCCATGTGATCCCGCTTTGAGCTAGCAAGATATCCATCCTATGGACACCGGTGATTCCCTCCTAGGGTGCCAGAGCAAGTTTGAGAAAGCCACAGGAGAAAGTTATGAACTGGAACTAGTGCCCAGTACTCCCCTGGAGACGAGGGTACTGCTTGTATACATCTGGTGGTGGTGTGTAGATGCAGAGCTCCATGTACCTGTTGATCTCAAAGACCAAGCATCACTCCTCTTTTTTCAAACTTTTATTGAAAAACCAAGGGGATACGCTGGAAACCTTTTCAGAAAAGCCGCTTCTCATACCTGTAGGCAGAGACCACCAGTGAATTTAAGGCAGGAGGAAGTTTCGAAAGATGAGGCATGGCATAATTCCCACCAAAAGACAGGGTCACTTACGAATGAAGGCCATGGACCCCACCTTCCACCTGAGCTGAGGATGTTCTCTTCTCAAACTTAAGTTCTCCAGAGTACATCATGGCTCTGAAGAGGGGCAGGTGTCAGGTGTAGGTAGTAGCTGGCCCTGGAACCAGCCCCTCTACCTAGGTCCCAGCCAATCAAACTCACCGGACTTGGGTCAAGCTCTTTGCACCAATGTCCTGGCAGGAGTGCTGGATACCAGCAATCAAGTAGGGAACGAACTTGTGGATAGACCCTTTGTCCTGCACAGCCCCTGACACCCCCTGGGCCACTTTGATTTTGTCAGCTTCACTGTTGGAAGAGGAAGAGAAATAGGCAAGGTCACAACAGGGATGAGACTCTGCAAGGTGGGGGTGGGGTTATTAGTCTGCCTTTCCCACCTGAAGTATCGGTTTTGGCTGCTGAGATGCTTGTCCATGGCATCAAGAGAACCCATGCCACGATATTTCTTTAGCCGGATTCCATCCGAGAAGAAGTACTCACCAGGGGCCTCAGTGGTGGCAGCCAGAAGGGAGCCCATCATAACTGTGAACAGATACAATTGCTTGGAACAGAGGTTTTTTTGTTTCTTGGTTTTTTTGGGGGTGTGGGTAGGAGGGCAGGCAGTACTGGGGTTTGAACTCGGCACTCTATGATTTGAGCCATGCCTCTCATCCTATGGGGCAGAGTTTGAATGGCATAGATAAGGTGTCTCACCATGCACTCAAGATACCTGGCCTCACCTGTAGAAGCCCCAAGGGCCAAGGCTTTGGCAATATGGCCCACATTTTGAATTCCTCCATCAGCAATAACAGGAACTCCAAAGCGCCGTGCATACTCTGAAACCTTGTATACTGCTGTGGCTTGGGGCCGCCCGCATGCCAGCACTGTTGAGAGATGGGTGGGTTGTGTTAGTGGAGATAGGGTGTTACATAGTTAGCACTCAGGAGCTCTTGGCTACACCTGCACCAGGATGGCAGCTTGAAGAGATGTGCCTGGGATGGCTGCTATCTCATCTACCTTGAACAGTACAAACAGCTATGCTGACTGCCTCATGTGCACGTGCATGTGTGCAGAGTCCAGGGCAGCCTTAGGCACATGCAGTCTTAGCAGCGGGGAAGCCGCGCCCACCTGGTATCAGATGGAACAGGAGTCACCGTGCAGTTAGTACCCAGAGGCATCAAGTCAGGCTCAGCCCTTCCTCCCTGCACAGTGGGCAGCTCAGGCAAGATCAGGGTAGTAGTAATGTAGAAGAGAAAGCAGGCTCTAGAGTTGGTCCTTGAGCTATGCCTATGCAGAACATGTGGGCAGAGCAGGGCCTGCCTAGGGAAGGAGGTCCTGCTCTTAGAGCACTCAGGAAGAAGAGGGAGCTGTAATCTCAAGCAGCCCCCAAACAATGGTCTGTACATCTGTTTGCCCTGCCCACCCATCAGCACCACAAACCCTGGGAGCTACAGCTACAGTCAACCAAGCAGCCGGGCAGTGGGCAGCTGGGCCGGGCCAGTGGGCCGGACCGGACTTACTATAGCAGCCCGTGACAGTAGAAGGGCATTTGGGGCTGTGGGACTTTATGTCTGGAGGGATCTTGGGAGCCGCTAAATAAAACAAACAGACCAGAGTTTAGAGAGGGCTCAGAGCAGGAGCAAGGAGGCCAGGCTAGGCGGGGAAGTGGCAGTTGAGGTATGACAAGAACTTGTCTTGCTTCCAGCCATGTCACCCATCCAAAAGGCCTGTTTGGCCCCAAAGTTGCCCATTGTTGGAGGACTCAAGATAGTTCCCATAAGAGGGCTTGGCCCTGGCCAGAGCACACTCTTACCTTCCTGAGTGATGCAGATTGAGCCGCTTCCCATGCCCACCCGCAGTGCATCCACACCTGCATCAATGAGGTTCTTGGCCTGAGCAGCAGTGACCACTACAAGAAGAGTGTAAAGCTCATGTGAAGGTCCAGGTATGCCATTCTCCCCTACCCACACCATGTCCACGAGTGCCCAGACTTGTCTTACCATTGCCCCCAATGACTTGGAGATTGGAGTATTTCTCTTTGATATACTTAATCATATTGATTTGGAAGATAGAGTTTCCCTGGGAAGAGTCCTGGAAAAGGAAGGAAGGAGGTTCCAATCAGATTGTGATACGGCAGCTGCTTATACCATCCGACCCTATTTATGCAGTAGCTTACCAAAACCACTACATCCACACCAGCCTGGGCTAGTAAATCCAGCCTATATTTGTCATCTTCATGAGTGCCAATGGCTGCTCCACAAAGCAGCTGCTTCTTGGCATCTTTGGAGGCCAGTGGGTAATCTCGATTCTTCTTCAGGTCTGTCCGAGCAATGATAGCCACCAGCTCATCGTCTTCATTTACAATGGGCAACTTTCCTGAAGTCAGGGCAGGACATGAATCAGGACCCTGACTTTTATTTCTAGGCCCTTCCCACCTCTAAGACTTACCTTTCTTGCTGCGCTGAAGAATTTCATTTGCCTCCTTCAATGTAATGCCTGCAGGGGCTACTACCAAGTCTTCCCTCTTTGTCATGATCTAGGAGGGAGGGAAGTCATAAGGAAGGGCCTGTCAGATCAGACCTCCCCGCAGACCTGACCAACTCAGGTGGGAGGCTCCAAAGACAAAGACCACCATGTTCATATATCTGAACCCAAGTCACCCCTTCTCTCACAAACACTCAGTAGTCCTTATGCCAGTAAAATGGCAGGAATGAGTGGAGTAGTAGGGACAACATGGTACAGAGAGCAGTACTGGGGTTTGAATTCAGGGCCTCACACTTGCTAGGCAGGTGCTCTACCACTTCACCAGCCCTTTCATGTGTTGGGTACTTTTGTGAACCGTAATCCTCCTGATCTTTGCCTCCTGAGTAGCTAGGATTATAGGCATGAGCCATTGGCACGGGGCTGGGAGCAGATTCTTATGTTGTACAGAAAAAAGGAACACAGAGGAGCAATAAGAAAAGAAACAAAATAGAAGAGCTGATAGTCATTGAGCACTACCCCCATTTTGGAGGTGGCAAAGAACAAATGAATACTAGTAGACATTTTGGCAGTTGACAGTTCTGTAGAGAGAGTGGATACAGAAACCCCACGAAACAGACAGAAACATGGCTGGATGTTCATTTTTTCTGGACAGGAGAACCTCAATAATGTCATATGGGTAACAAAAGCCTCCTTTTTTAGGTTGGCTATGTTCTGCAGTGGTACCTACCTCTTCCAAAAAACAGTCATGCTCCTCCTCCTTGAGAAAATCAATGTCCCTCGAGGAGATGATGCCTACCAACCGACTCCCCATCCGGCCTGTATCTGTGATAGGGATACCACAGAAGCCATGCCGGGCCTTGGCCTCAAAAACATCCCGAACTCGATCCTTGGGGCTGAGGACCACAGGGTCTGTGATGAATCCCTGCTCATATTTCTGGAAGGGATGATGAAAAAGGGCACTACATCTCTGAACCACTTTCATGAAGCTCTTGGTTTAAAGTATAAGATCTAACTGTCCCTTATGACAGTGTCACAAGACCATAGCAAACTAAGCCCTCAGACAAAAGACATGGGTGGGCTGGAGGCACTGTGCATAGTGGTCTTCTGCTAGCTTAAGAATTAGGGTCTCAGAAGCTTCTCAGGAATTAACACCACAGAGGGAAGAAAGAATACTAAATTAGCAGAATACCCCCCAACTCCCACCCCACTCCACCTCTGTAATTCCCAGAAGCTATTGGCCATGATCCTTGCCCTTCTGACCTTCACTTTCCGAACTTCATTGGCCTGGAATTCAGGTGTACAGTTGTGGTGGATGAAACCAATACCACCTGTAAGCTAGAAAATGAAAAGACAGAAGAAAGGGAATAACTACAAAGAATAAGCGGCATAACTGCATGCCTATGAGGAAGGGATATCCTTCATGGGGCTCACCGCCATTGCGATGGCCATTCCAGCCTCTGTGACTGTGTCCATGGGTGAGGAAACCAGTGGGGTCTTCAGTGTAATCTTCTTGGTTAGAGCAGAGGTCAAGTCCTAAGGAGACAAACCATCACTAGTGTGGGAAAATACCTCTTATTCCTCAGGGTTATACCAGGTCCTCACAAAACATGGCCTCTGTATGAACTGCATGCTAGCTGGAAAGACCATTCCACAGAATCCACCCCCAAACCTAATCTGGTAGCCCAGATTAAACAACAGCAGCACCTTAACACATCTTGATGGTTAGAACCCAATTCCTGATCATACTCACCACCTGGTCTGCAGTGAAGTCGATGTACCCAGGGAGAATGAGAAAATCGCTGTAGGGGAAGGAAATGAATTGGGAGTAGGACTCAGGTTTATGGCATTAAATCCACATATCACCCCTAAGGCATCTGGGGAGGGAGTGGCACTAACTGGGCCTATGTGTCACAGGCAAGACGGACAACAGAGTGGAGATAAGGACAGGAAACTTTTCTGTACTGAGCTGTCATCAGTTCTGGCACCCTGACAATTCCATGTGTCTACAGAATGGTCTCAAGGCTGAATCCCCAAGTACGGTAGAAATAGCTATCCCAATCCCAACCCCCCTCCAAATACGTCAAAATGAAGCCCGGAGATAGCTAATTCCCGGATCCTATCACAAAATCCGCGCCCTAGTAGGGCTCCACTGAAGCCCCAATGTGCCCTCTTGGCCCAACGTGGCTCCCCTCTCCTCGCCCAGGTGAGTCCCCGAGGACCGCACTTGTACGTGAGACCATCCCCGCAGTTGAAGAGCTGCTGTGCGGTGAGTCCGTCGTCTGGAACATAGGACGTGCCCCCGCTGATCAGGTAGTCCGCCATGGCCAGCGCGGATTACTATCGCGTGTCTCCGAGGACCGCGCCGCAGAGGCCTCTGATGTCTGGGCCGCGCCAATATAAACCAGGGTGTTTCGTCACTACGCCGAGAGCGTTGCCGACGTCAGGGCGCTGTGCGCGCAGGCGGAAGGGCTGAGCCTTGCGGCAGGGGCGGGGCTAGACGGAAGGAATCGGCGCATGCGCACAGCATAAACGGGCCGAATCCCTAGATAATACTGCTGTGCGCTGTCCCACCCCTCGCCCCCTCCCCACCTCAGGATCTTGACCCATTTGATTAACAGGCATGAGTTTGTTTTCACTGTCCCACCAGATTCCTCCCCAAATAAAGACGCGATGTTCACTAGAATGTTGAAAAGACGTGCTTGTCATTCTTAATAAACAACTAGAGTAAGAATACATAAGAGAAACAGTGGTATCTTTATATGATACACAAGTGTATGTTACAAGAATTCCATCAGGCACAGGGGCCTCAGGTTTAAGGCCTCAATGTTAGGCCACAAAAAAAAAAAAAAAAAAGGCATGGTAAAGTTTTTACTTTAACATCTAAAATGTCACTTGTCATAAAGGAGGGTGTAATATAAATTGTCTTTAATAAATCATAATTGAAATTCCCCTCATTTTTCTTCCATTAGGATGCTAAGTTTATGTCTGAGTATGAAGAAAAGAACGTGACTCCCCTGTGGTCAATGAAGTCGGCCAGTCCAGAATGAAAGCCAGCTGGGGAAGATTCCCTGGAGGGTCAATCCATCATTAATTCCATCTTTCTTGAGGAAGGGAAGGGGCCACATTTCTTCTAACAGTCCAAGCCCTTTCCCCACACTCCAGACCAAAAAGAAAGAAAGGGGGAAAAAAAAAAAAAAAAGAAAAAGAAAAAGTCAGCCAGCAACTTTCTAGGATATCTGACTCTCAGGAAACCCACAGCCTCCATGGGCTAAAGAGTTTGCCGTAGGTCTATGAAGATGCAAAGGAGGCAAAGTCTTCTTTTACATTTTAAACAGAAGTAGCCTGAAAAGCTTCATAACTACACAAATAAGAAAAAAGAAAAAACGGAGGCCTCTTCTTTAGTGTAAGTTCGTCCAACTTTTTCCTGGCTGTTTTTTCTTACACCATGGCTAAGACATCTCAGTGCATGGTGCTTGCATTGGCCACTGCAATGGCCTCTTGAATTTCTCGTATCACCAGGATCCGGGTCAGCATTTGTCCCATCTGCTCTCTGCTGATAGGCTGGACTGAGTACCAGATTGGGCTGTTGGGGGCCACCACTGGTTCAGGTGTCAGGTAAAAGGTGTCATTCCGGCCTTTCACACTCTGGGGGCTGAAGAACATGTCAGTAAAAGCTGGATAACACCATTATAATTTCGACCCTCCCAGCATGAACATCCCAGACAGACATTTGAAAAGGCTGGTAAAGCAGCATCTGTGGTGTGATAACAGCCACCAAATCCCATGCAGCCACCATACACCATCTCCAGGACCTACACAGGGCCTTCTGTAAATGCCAGTAAAAGGTACTTTCTTACCCTCCACATAAGCCAACTGTGATGAATCACTAATTGTAATTCCCTAGGGAACTGATGGGCTTAACTAAATCCATCTCTATGTCACTTGGAGCCAACTTCAATGATCAGATCTACCTCCAAGTGTTTGGCTCAATTGTGTACTCTGTAACCATGCACAATCATGATTCTGGGATCAGCCCCCTTCATCAATAAACTGTACCCTTGTTAAGTAGTTAGCACGCTCAATTATCTAATGGATGAATTCATCAATCTGTTCAAAATTTATTGAAGGGCTACTGAGTGCTGGCTTGGATTAGATGTGGATGTTAAATCAGCAGGAACAGTAAGTAGTTCCTATCTCATGGAGCATACAAATAAAGAGGGGGAGAAAGACAGCAATTAAAGTTACACAAATACACACAAACTGATGATAGAAGATAAGTGATACAGAGAAAACAGCCAGAGGGAAAAAGGAGAGAATCTGGAAATGGTTTCTCAGAAGAGCTGGTTTTTTGTTTGTTTGTTTGTTTGTTTTTGTGGTAATGGGGTTTGAACTCAGGGCTTGGTGCTTGCAAAGCAGGCACCCTACCACTTAAACACTGCCTTAAACACCGCTCTGTACTAGAGGTATGGCTCAAGTACACAAGAGATAGCATGATGCCCTTGAATGGAAGTTCATGTGGGTAGAGAGCTCACAGCATCACAGACATCCAGCTTGCAAGATGGAAGACACTAGAGGCCTTGAACATCATGTAAGGGTTACTTTGTAGAGTAGTGAGAAACCACTGAAGGTTTTAATCTAAGTGATATAATAAGACCTGTGACCAAGAAAGATCCTGCTGGCACTGCTGTGAAGATGACATGCCAAGGGACAAGATAAAGCAGAGGTGCCCTCCAACTAGGAAGAGGGTGGCAGGGACAAAAGTTAAGGGCTAGGATGATATAGGATGTAATGAAAGTGCATCTTCATACCTTCTCTATGAAATGTAATGGTCAGAATTCCGTGATCTTTTTCATATTTCAGTGCTAGACACATATTATACTTTGCTGGAAAGCCAGCAAAGTTGCTACTATATTCAGTTATTTGGAAGTGATTTTGTGTCTCAGACTGGAACTACAGAATGTCTCTCTTCTGTGATATGCACACAAGTAAGCATGCACACAAACAAACACATGATTAGTCAATTTATAAAGGCTCCTCACCATTTGAAGAGGTAGAAATCGTAGAGCTTGATGGGACATCTCAGTGGATTCTCTGGATTTTCTGTCTGCTCTGCATACATGTCATCTGTAACTACAAAACACCCCCCCCACACACACCACAGACCTGGCATCAGGCTGTCTTATCTTAGGTCCAGATCAGGAACCTTAGGCATTTAGCCACCCCAACTAAGAAATATTGGGTGGGAAGAGGGAAGGGATTAGGTATGAGGTGACTTAAGAAGGGAAGAGGCTATCTTATCTGGGGCTTCCTTGCTTCTAGGAGAAAAGTTTGAAGTTTTTGGCTGAAGGGAATGGAGAATTCCTACCAAGCAACCCCCAACCTTCACACTCATCACTAGTCCCATTAAGACAAGAAGCACCTGTTATTGTCATCCCTGACTCCTTCCCCTACCTTTCTGGCCAGTCTGGTGTATCCCAAGGGCCTTCAGGTACCGGATACTCGTGCTTTTATCCTTGGGATTAGAGGGATTCTTCTTTGTCTGTCGCAAGACCTTAGAGAAGGCCAGCTTCATATGCTGGTCCACTGTCTTCAACAGGAAGTACCTGGACCACAAGTGAAAGCAAGGGAGAGGGAGGGGTGCCGGGAGGATATCATGACTCACCCTCTATCCATTGGTGTTCTCAGGAGCCACTCCCACACTCCCAGGATCTGGATAGGCTTATATCCACATCAAGATAGAGGGTAGGGGTCTGGCAAAGCTGTTTGCCTTGCCTGACACCACACAAAATACAGCCAAGCTGGGCTCAAAGTAGCTCAAAGGTTCTCAAATGTGTCAAAGGAATTCAGAAGTCCTCCTGGAGTTTATATTCTTCACTGGGCAGCTACCAGCTGTAGCTAAGTGTGGAGCTTCTAGAACACTTACTTGGTATTAAAGAACATGAGGGTGGTCAACAGGGTGGAAGGGGAGTGTGCGCCAAGCTGCTTGCACTCCCACAGCATCTCTTCAGTCACATGGCTGGGCAGGACATAGCCTAGGAGGAATAGAGCACACTGCTACAATCGAATGGCAGGAGGTTTCACAAAGGCACAGGATGGGAGGTATGAGGCACAAAGACCACAGGGGCACAAGTCCTATCAAGGGAAGTCTCCTTAGGGTGTGGCAAAATACTTTGGAAAACTTGTTACAACACAGACGCCTGGTCTCAACCCAAGTTTCTGGGGTGGGATGTGATAATAAACATGTATTTCTAAGAAGTTTAAGGTGATACCGTTGCTATTGCTATTGCTCCAGGGGAACACACAGAACTACTGGTTCAAATGATTGCTGCTACCTGAAAAATCTTTACTCTGATCCAATTCTAATGCAGGGCAAAAGGATTATCCTCACAGACAAGAAAAATACATCAAACTATAAATCAAACACTGCAGATATATATACTTCTCTAAGAGAGCTGTATCTTCAAGGTGTTTAGGGCCCAAAGACCTAACAAGCGTACCACTCTTTATACTTACCAAATGTTGTATCATGTCTACCATCTCTAGAAAGCAAGCCCATTTTCATTTATCTCTAGATAAAGGAAAGACTGATATTTGAACTATTACAAGTTTCCTCCAACAGGGAAGGTATTACTCTAAGACCCTTGTTCATAAGCAAATCCTAAAGCAAGGCAGGAGCAAAGGCTAAAGGTTTGAACAGCCTGGGCAACCAGGACTGCACCAAAGGAAGATAAGACTCGGTCTAACTACTAAGCTCACTTCATGTGCTCAATGCAAAAATGTCCAAGTGTTTGTATACTGGGGCAGAGTAGAGGGCAGCATAGTATTCAGCTACAGAGTTTTAGGATTTTGAAGGCAGGAAATGAAGGTGACATTCTCATAGAAGCAGGAAAAGGAATATTTTTCCCAACACAGAGTCCTCTTTTCTGTTCTTGCCAAAGCTACAGCTCTTACTACTTAGTGCAGTTACATCTCTTTAAGGCAACTCTGGCTTTATTCTTATCTACCCATTAGCTATTTTGTGGCACAGCAGTAATGGGAAGCACTTTCCTGATTCTGGACATATCTGAAAGCGCCAAAACGAACATCATTAGACAGCCCTCCTCAGAGAAATGTTCTAGAAGATTTCTTAGGAATAATTTCAATCCACCTTGACATGTTCTACTCCTTTGGGTTCACTCCACCACCTGCCTCCTGACAGGTTAGTTTCTCTCTTTTTTTTTTTAATTGGCATACTGGGGTACAATGAGACATTTATATAAGTGCTTACAATGTATCTTAATAAGACTTCCCCACTCCATCTCTTTCCTTTATCTCCCCTCCCCCAGGTACGTGTGGGTTTTTTTTCAAGCCCAGGCTGGCCTTAACTGCTTTCCTGTGATCTCTGCTTCCTGAATAGCTAGGACTACAGATGTGAGCCACAACTGCCTGGCTACTTTCTCTTAACAACACAAATTAAATTACTTCAATGCCTGAGACCTATGCATGGCAGAAAGGGGATACAGACAAAAACATAAGCCATATAGTCCTGAATCTCAACAGCAAGCAAGAAAATTTATGTATATATATATATTTGGTGGTAATGGGGTTTGATATCAGGGCATTGTGCTTGCTAGGCAGGCATTATACCACTTGAACCACACCCCTAGCCCTTTTTTTGGTTTAGTTATTTTTCAGGTAGGGTCCATCCTCAGGTCTAGATCTTTCAATCTACAGCTTCCTGTGTAGATGGGGCCACAGGTGCATGTCACCACACCTGGCTTATTGATTCAGATGGGGGTCTCCCTAACTTTCTACTTGGGCTGGTCTCAAAATACAATCCTCCTGATTTCTGCTAAGAATAGAAGAGAAAAGGGCTCAGGACTTGGCTCATGTGGTACAGCAACTGCCTAGCAAGCATAAGGCCGAGTTCAAATCCCAGTACGAAAAAAAAGGAAATCTAGGAGGGAAATGAGGAGGGAAAAGTTGTTCTTTATGTTACAATAATGAAGGCAATCGCTTTGGAACCCATAATGAATTAAGGGAGTCAGAAGTGATAGGCATTGTGATGGAGCAGAAGTTACCACAAAGTAACCTTACCAAAACAACACCAAACCTGAATTGATCTTTATATCTCATTACCAATCAACTATAAATACCAGTTCTAAGTTTAAATTTTTAATGAAGTTAAACTTACCAAGCTTTTCTTTCAGACTGTGCTTTTGGTGCTGGTTCTAAAGGGTCATCACGAAATCTAAGGTCATCTAGATTTTTCTCTTATTATCTTCTCTAAGAGTTTTATATGTTTGCATTTTATAGTTAGGTATATGAGACATTTTCAATTAACTTTTGTGAAAGCTTAAGGTCTGTGTCTAGACTCATTTTTCTCTATGTGAATGTCCAATTGTTTCAGTACCACTCACTGAAAAGACTATCCTTTCTACATTGAATCCTTTGTCAAATTTACTACATTTATATGGCTATTTCTGGATTCTGTTTTACTCCATTCATCTATCTGCATATTCTTTCACCAAAAATCTACACACAGTATTTATAGCAGCTTTACTCACAATTGCTAAAACCTGAAGCAACCAAGATAAAATATCTTTCAATTGGTGAACAGATAAACAAACTGTGGTACATTCATACAATGGAGCATTACAAAAGAAATGAGCCATTAAATCACTAAAAGACATACAGGAGCTTTAAATACATATTGCTAACTTAAAAAAAAGTAATCTGAAAAGGCTACTACCAAATTACCCCAAACATATGACAGTCTAGAAAAGGCAAAACTATGGAGACAGGAAAATTATCAGTGGTTGTCAATGTGTCAGGAGATAAAGGAAGGATAAAAGTGGAGAATAGGTTTTTTAGGACAGTGAAACATGCTGTATTGACACCATAACGATGGACACATCTTTATACATTTACTCATACATGCTTTATACATTTATTAAAACACCTAAAATGTACAATACAATTGAGCCCTAACGCACACTCTGAACTTTCAATAATATTAATCAATACTGGTTCATCCATCATAGTAAATGCACCTCACTAACGCAACGTGTTAATGATAGGGGAAAATGTAAAGGATGTGTACGCAAGGGGGCACAGGAAATCTTTGTACTTCCTCCTCCAGTTTTCTGGACAAAAAAGTCTATTAGATTAAAAATTCACCTTAAACACAAATAATCTAGTGAACATCTTATGTACTTTCTAATACAACATGCTGTCCAGAGGTTGTCTGTGGATAAAAGCTGTAATTGTGTTCTACAAATTAAAATGGTTCATAATTCTTAATAGTACTTACTTCCGTACTTACTTACCTTTTGAGACACGGTCTGTGTTGCCCAGGCTGGATCAAACTGCTGGGCTCAAGTGCTCCTCCATCAATTTCCCTGGTAGATAGAGCTACAGGAATGCTCTACTAGATCTGGTTATCATTTTTATTTATTTATTAAAAGTAGTTTTATTTTTCTGGACACAATTCACCTTTATTTTATTCGTACATGACATTTTTGGCTACGAATATAGTTTGTGGTATGATTCTGATTTTATTTCATAAATTCTGATAGAAGAACAAAACCATAGTAACTATCCCACTAGTCCTGTATGTCCTTATGTCCTTGCCACACTGGGACTAGCAGGATTGTCTGGTGAGCAGTGCCCTTTCCTACCAGGGAAATCAGCACAGAAGCCAAAGCTGCTCTCTGAGATTTATAGTCTCACTCACACATAATCTCAGCCAACCGCAAAAGTTTCCCATCTTTTAAAAACCCAAGTGAGAAAGAAATCCAACAATAAGTGGGACTCTTACCAAGTGGAGTGACACGGGGCTGAACATCCTTCAGAACTTCATGTAGCCACTCCGTGAATCGAACATAATAAAGATCAGAGAAGATGTCATCTACCCTTCCATTTTCAAAAAGATACTACGAGAAAAATAATTAATAAAAGTCATTGGCAGTCTCTTGAGTAAGACTTTCAGGAGAAATAAACATCTTTCCACTAATGCCACTATTTCTTCCTACCCATTTTCCGCTCAACAAAAGAAGGTACCAAGTCAACTGACCATCATGTGACATTTTCGTAGTGGTCTTCAAATCATGTGAACAGATTCCTACAACATTGTTTCTTTCTTTTTTTTTTTTTTTTTTGGTCGTACTGGCATTTGAACTTAGGTCCTCGTACTTGCCACTCCATCAGCCCCCTATAACATTCTTAACAGTTAGGTCAATGAGGCAGATTTTATGAATACTATTTTATCACGCAAGCCGTTGTCTTGTGGTAGTAAAAACCATGAACAGGATCTTGGGTCAGCCTATTATTAGGATATTGTATAAGTTAAATATTGCATGTCCAAGTCTTTTAACTTCTAGTTGTCAATTTTCTTGCATTTAAATTACTGTACTTGTCTCCCAGTACAGACGAGAGCATGTGAAATAATTCATATGGTACCTAGAAGATTTTACTCAGGACCAGGCAACAGAGTGAGTCCCAACAAATATGCTTCACCTGGATAGACTAAAAACCCAAGTATATCTGTATACAATTCTAGCCAGACTCCTTCACATAATCACTCTGTATTAATATATGTAACAAAAAGAAAAGCTATATGTTAACACTAGACTTTGTTTTGAATAAACTACTTTTTTTAAAATAAAAACTATATATTTCCTTTAACCAGTAGGAAAGTGTTAAGTAAATGCTTTGTGATTAAGAAAGAAAAAAAAAAAAAAGCTGTTGCGGGAATTAACAAATATTTTAACACAAATTTCTTTAGATGGTAGGATTATAGAAGATACTTGTTTGGTTATTTTGTTTTCTAGACTGAACATATAGGTCTTTACAATTAAAAAAAATTATTTTTAAAATTCACTATAGCACTAACTCGACCACCAGCAAACACCCAATGGGAACATAGCTCAAACATGTTCCTTTGATCTGTTTCCTACCTTTTGGATACACAGGAAAATATAGTAGAGTACATCTGGGTCATAGGGTTCACCTTCTCCATTTCGGGCTTCCCGTGTCATTAGACAAAGTCCATAATTCAATTCAGCCACAGCAGAAGAGATGAGATCTTCCTGGAATCGTAGCAACTGGCGCCCTGTAATACAAGTCCCAAGAGTGAATGGGGATCCTGGCAGCAGTTGTTTTGTTTACTGGCTGCTCATATTCCTGAAAGGAGGGCTCAGAACAGACACTGCCCATCAGGGTACTGAGAAAGGAATGGCCAGATCTATGATCAGAACTGACAGACTAAAGCAGTAATCACATATACTATTACACCAACGGTTTCCTTTCCGTAATTCTTCCCCATCCAACATATCCCAACAATTATTACTAGGAGCAAGAAATAAAAGCAGAATCTATGAGCCTAAAGTCTTGAGCACACTGACCAGTTTCTATTTCTTCCGATAAGTCACTCTTCCTTGGTTTCCTAGGTCAACACTAGAAACTCATGGGTATAAACATGCTTAGTCTTGAGAAAACCCCAGAAATCCTGCCCCTCTGCTATTTCAGAGTCTAGTTTCCAGAGTCAGGAGACATTACTTTCCTGTCACACTTTAAACAAATACCATCCTCCTCTCCCTCCCAAAACACTCACTCCCAATGGGTGCCAATCTGTTCTGAGCATCTTTCTCTAGTTCAGCATTCTTGGTCTGGGCCCAGTTTTTCCATACTTCAAGCCCTTCTTCAGGCTTCAAAGAATTTGGAAGCAGAAGTTCTGGGGAAGGCTGTGGCTGAGACTGTGGTTCAACTTCAGCAACTTGGACAGTTTGAGCCTATGAGAAAGAAATCATTAGAATGTGTCAATACTGTTTTACGTTCGATCTTTGGCAAAACTACTGGAAAAAATGTTACTTATGGTTCATCTAGCTAAGAAAAAAATTTCCAGCCAGGTGCTAATGGCTCACGCCTATAACCCTAGCTTCTCAGAAGGCAAAGATCAGGAGGATCACAGTTTGAAGCCGGCCCCGCTAAACAGTTTGCAAAACCCTATCTCAAAAAAAACCCAGCACAAAAAAGGGCTGCTGGAGTGGTTCAAGGTACAGGCCCTGAGTTTAAGCCCCAGTACCAAAAAAAAAAATCTCTTCTTGCTGTCCTACTTTCAAGAAACTTGGAAATTATACTTATTCCAGGGATAGCAAAGGTAGCACTATAACTAGGCTAGTACAGGTCTTCTCAGCCCTGGCTGCACTTTTGAATTTCACTTAAAAAACACCAATACCCAGGTTTAGACTGGAATCTGTCACTAGGGTAGAGGCCAGGTATCAGTCTTTTTAAAACTCCCCAAATGTGTCTGTTGTTCACTCTCCTAGAGATGACCCGCTTTCAGTCCACTGAAAGTGTATGCCTTTCTAATTAGCTGTACTATCTGTCACTTTCAAAATAAATAAATAACAGCTATCTAAGTAAAGAGGGAGAGTAACGGAGGGGATGAAACATACCAGGGTACATTGTATAAATATATGGACACGTCAAAACAAAAATCCCTGTATAACTATTATATACTACATACTAAGAAAAACATTAAAAAGAAAAAAAAAAAAAAACTCCCCAAGTAAAAAGGTAATTCTAGTACCATCACTGAAACTCCTGGTTCAAAGCACTGCCCTCCAAATTTCAATGTGCAAATAAATTACTAGGGGGTTTTACTGAAATGCATATACTGATTAAAAAGGTCTGGAGGTGGGACCATGGGACCTGAGATTCTACATTTCTAACAAGCTCTGAAATAGAACCAAGTCTGGTAGTCTGCAGACCAATTTTTGATAGCAAATTACCAGAGCAGTAATTTCTTTTTTTTTTTTTTTGGGAGGGATTGGGATTTGAACTGAGGGTTTCCAGTTTGCAAAGCAAGTGCTCTACTACTCGAGCTATACCTCCAGTTCATTTTGCATTGGTAATTTTGGAGATGGGATCTTGTGAACTATTTGCCCAATACTGCAAAAAAAAAAAAAGGATGGAAAGGAGGAGGGAAGGAAGGGAGGGAAAGAAGGAAGGGAAGGGAGGAAGGAGAGGAGGGGAGGAAAGGAGGAAGGGAGGGAGGAAGGAAGGAAGGAAGAAAGGAAAAACTGGGTACCAAGTAGAGTTAGTATGTTTTTTGTTTTTGGCAGTACTGGGGTTTGAACTCCAGACCCCACGATTACTAGGTAGGTGCTTAATGGACCGCTTGATCCATTCCACAAGCCCTTCTTGTGTTGAGTATTTTCAAGAAATGAGGCAGCAGATGGAGGTGACTATGGGATCAAAGGAGGGAGATTTCACCATAAAACTGGTTTTAAAGAAAGGAGACATGAAAGCTTTGATAAAAACTATGCCCTCCCCCAACTCATGACAGTTGAAAGAGCATAATACACTGCCACCAGATCTCCTTACGGTTCAACAGTCTTTCTCAGAGGTTACAAAAGTCTAAGGTTCACTGGGCACTCGTGGTTCCTCGTCCCTGTAATTCCAGCTACTTGGGAGGCTGAGATCGGGAAGTTGGAGGTTCAAGGCCAGGCCATGCGAATAGTTCCCAAGATCCCATCTCCATAACAACCAGAGCAAAATGGACTGGATGTGTGGCTCAAACAGTAGAGCACTTGCTTCACAAGAGCAAAGCCCTAAGCTCAAACTTCAGTCCCAACAATAACAACCAAAAAAAAGTAGTCACCTAAGGCTTCAGCCACACCAGTGCTGGAATTATAGGCATGTACCACCATACCAGGATCAAGAAAGATGTTATACTTATCTCTATTTCCAAGAATCTAGCACAGAGATTGATGAAGAGTGCCGAGGTTTGTTTGTGGTCTATGTATATTAAAGATACAAACATGCCTTTCCCTTGTTATGGATATTTTTTTGTTTTTGATGGTAAAACGTCATATAAATTCCTATATAATACTTTGCAGGGCTATGGATGTGGCTCAAGTGGTATAGCGCCTGCCTAGCAAGACCCTGAATTCAAACAATACTGCTGACTTTGCAAAGAACACATTTTCTGAAAACATGATCCCACTAAAATAAACTCTAGAAAGCTCTCTTATTAGAGGGCCCAGACATACAAATTAGGAAAATAATAAGCACCAGAAGAGGCTTAACCTGAAACTAAACTATTAGGCTCAAGAAAGCTGAGGGGAAGCCTAATATGCTCCATCTTTGTGAACAAAAGCTGAGCGGAGTCCCATTTACAACTCTCCTGGCTGGTATCTCCTATATACAAGCAATTCTACATACCTCTCCTTGATTTCTCTTGTCAACACAATTCTTAGGAAATCCAGAAATGCCTTATTTTATACCACCAATCAAACCGAACTAAATTCTTGGAAAGACAAAATCCCCATCCCCCATAACTCCTCTTCCACAGTTCTTCTCTCACGCTGCCCTAGGCCATGTCCTTTCAGTTCATCCCTGAATTTATACTGTTGCATTTGTACATAAATCTAGGCAAAAAACCTCATTTTAAATCTCACCCTTTCCATAAAGACACCTCTGCTAACTTTTTCAGTGTAACTGAATTTTTTTTTTTTTTTAAGCAGTACTGGGTTTAAACTCAGAGCCTCACGCTTGCTAGGTAGGGGCTCTACCACTTGAGTCACACTCCTAGCCATCATTGCTAACTTCTTAAACTAAAATTTCTGAATTTGTCTTTTTGTGTATATCTTTTTTTTCCTTTTTTAAAAATTTTTGTTGTACTGGGGGTACATTTATAAAAGTTCTTACAATATATCATAGTTTAATTCAGCCCCTTCATCATTCTCCTTTATTGCTCTTTCCCCTATGTAATTCTTTATTATGCTGCCTTATAAGTAATTTTAAGGAACAGAAATTCTAAGTTCTTATTCTCAACAACTAGACACTAGGCTACCTGAAACAAGAACTCTACTTTTAGGCTTGATAGCTAGCAACTTAGTGCATCCTTAACAATGTTATCTGAATTTTATAGAGAAACCACTTGATTAGCCTTTGCTTAATTAATCATTTATGGTCTGAGTTTCTGAGTGTAGTCCTTCACCTAACTTGTGTCAGCTCCCTCATGTGAATACTAAACCCTACGATCCCTGAGACATCCTACTTTTAACTGAGCCATAAAGACCAGAGATTCTGTATTCCATTCTAAAGGTCTCCTAAACAAGGAACTGGACTGTTTACTATAGCTTAAATAATCTATCCACACCCAATTCTGAGCTATCCTTAAGAAGACTAATAATTAAGCAGGGGATGGTGGTACATGTCTGTAATCTTAGCCGTTCAGGAGACAGAGGCAGGATGATCATGAGTTCAAGACCAGTCCAGGCAAAGTGAGACTATATCTCAAAATAAACAAACAAATAAATAAAAATAAAACCAATGGCTCAAGTGGTAGAGAATTTGCCTAACAAGACTGGGCTGAATCCCCCATACTGCCTCCCGCCCACGTGCCAAAAAAAGACTAATAATTACAAAAGATAAAAGACCCAGACAATTTTAAAGTTAAAATTTCAACATAGTTCTATTTTAGCAAATTTTATGTAAATCTAAAATTATTTTCTGTCTTTTGGCAGTACTGGGGTTTGAGCTTCAAGTCTTGTACTTGCTATGCAAGCTCTTTACTGCTTAAGACACACCTCCAGCCCCTAAAATTCTTTAAAAAAAAAAAAAAATTAAGAAAAAATTTTCAACATAGCCGCATGTCAGAAAATGAACCAAGCAGATACAGTCCTCAAGCCTGTAATCCTAGTCACTTGGGAAGCAGGGATCAAAAGGATTGTGAGTTAGGCTACCCAGGGTGAAAAGTTCTTAAGACCACATTTTAACCAGGAAAAACTGGGCAAAGTAGGACATACCTGCCATCCCAACTACCCAGAAAGCATAAATAGGGGGATTTCAGTCCAGGTCATCAGGGGCATAAAACAAGCCCCTATCTCAAATAACCAAAGCAAAAAGCCTGAGAGCATGGCTCAAGTGGAAGAGCGCCTGCCTAGCAAGCACAAGACCCTGAGTTCAACCCCTAGTACTGCCAGAAAAAAAATAAATGAAGAAAGTTAATCAAGGTTTATCTTGACTATTTTCAGAGAATACAAAAACATTCTTAGGAAATGTCACAGTATAGAAAACTTATTCAAGGCTCCCTAAGGTTCTAACTTTTGGGATTTTGATTTTGTTCTTTTGGGACAGGGTCTAATTTCGTAGCCCAGGCTAGCCTTACCTTGTGATACCTCCTGAGTCACCCCACAGGCCCACTATGAGGTATTTTAGGTCTTCTAATTTACCTATACCAGATACTAAAAGGAACAACCAACCTCACAGCTTCTCCACAGGAGTTTATTGCCACCATGAGTTACGTGTTAATCTATAAGGTTCTACTAGATTTGTTCACTTGAGATGCAAGGAACTAGCTTCTGGGATACAGATAACTCTTGAGGTACTCCATTTAGGTAATCTCCTAAGAAGAGATTATAATCAATCCCCAATTTAAAAAAAAGTTAAGAAGAAGTATCTTAGGGACCTAGACTCAAAGCCTCTCTTTAAAACAGCAAAGCAAGCAGTTGGTGCCATATGCCTGTAATTGTAGCACTCAGGAAGCTGAGGCAGGAGAATCACAAGTTCAAGGCCAGTCTGGGCTACATAGCAAGTTCAAGGGCAGTCAGCCTGAGTTACATAGATCATATCTCAAACAAAAAACCTGCAAAGCAGTTACTGGTCATTTAGTTGACCTCTAAGTAGTAGGGTAAAACCTCTTGTCTATTGTATAGCCTCATCTGCTGCTTCTCTTCCTTCCCCTCAAACACAATTCTAAATTCTATCACTGCAAAATTAACATTACAGCATTAAACAGAGACTTCTGCCAAGTTCTGTATTACACGGAGTCCTAAGGAAGAAGAATACCCTACAAATAAATCTTACTTACCGAACAAGTAACCTGGAGCTGCTGCTGCTGTGGTGGTGGTGGTGGTGTCTGTTCTTGAGGGGTTTGCTGCTGCGGCTGTTGCTGGGGGTCCCATATATGAACAGTCTGAGCCGTGTTCTGGTATGTGCCTGCCACAGCCTGCACAGCCACTGGAATGTGGATGTTGCCATTCATGAACTGTGCTGGAAAGAGAGAGTTTGCAAGGGTCTGCACTACCTCTTCATGGGAGTTTTTCACTACAGACGTGGTGCCCACCATCCTCCTTGTCATCCTCCAGCTTTACAGCTGCCAGGGCCGTGGGTGAGCCACTGACATGAACTGCGTTGTAGGCTTCCTGGGGAATGGCAATGTGGGTAATGCTCTGTTGCTGAGGGTCCCCCCGGGGCTGGGCAGAATAAACAGGGATGGTCCAAGTTTCTCCTGTAGGGCTAGTAATGGTCCCAGTGGCACTGTACAGATGGGCACTGTCTACTGTCAGTAAGTCTGGCCTCAAAGACACATAGCTCTGTTGCTGGCCCTGAGGAATAGCCAGCACGGTGGCCACCGGCTGCCCTGAGATGGCGTAGGACACAGTGATGGGCATGTCCACTTTGCGTTTCTTCACTGGCTGGAGGACACTGGCTGTGCCACCAACCCGCCGCTCCCCTTCCCGGGGTGAGCCCTGCTGGGATGGTGGTGGGGAAAGGGCACCCACGGTCTGGATTTGGATCTGCTGACCCCCAGCAAGAGACTGGCCAGCCACCAGCTGAGCCTGGATTTGCTGATGTGGGATGTGATCCTCCGGGATTTCTGTAGTCTGGATCTGCTGGGCTGCCTGCACGTGCTGCACCTGGATCTGGGCTGCTTGCAGCTGCGAGGGGCTGGGACTCTGCAGAGATGGGGTCTGGATGGAAGGGGCTGCTGATTGCGGTGCCTGGCCCTGAATCTGCACCTGGACCTGGATGGGTTGCTCGGCAGGCTGGTGAACGGTGAACTGCGGGGAGAGCTGCTGAGCCGAAACCTGCTGCGGAGACTGCTGTACCTGTACCTGTACCTGCAGCGACAAGATTTATCAGTGAGTAAGGCAGGCAGCATTGAGAATCCATTCCTTTTTATGCAGCCATGAAGAAGAACGAAATGTTATCATTCGCTGGTAAATGGATGGAATTGGAGAACATCATTCTGAAGTGAGGTTAGCCTGGCTCAAAAAACCAAAAATCGTATGTTCTCCCTCATATGTGGACATTAGATCAAGGGCAAACACAACAAGGGGATTGGACTATGAGCGCATGATAAAAGCGAGAGCACACAAGGGAGGGGTGAGGATAGGTAAGACACCTAAAAAACAAGCTAGCATTTGTTGCCCTTAACGCAAAGAAACTAAAGCAGATACCTTAAAGCAACTGAGACCAATAGGAAAAGGGGAACAGGTACTAGAGAAAAGGTTAGATCAAAAAGAATTAACCTAGAAGGTAACATCCACGCACAGGAAATCAATGTGAGTCAATGCCCTGTATAGCTATCCTTATCTCAACCAGCAAAAACCCTTGTTCCTTCCTATTATTGCTTATACTCTCTCTACAACAAAATTAGAAATAAGGGCAAAATAGTTTCTGCTGGGTATTGAGTGGGGGGAGAGGGAGGGGGCGGAGTGGGTGGTAAGGGAGGGGGTGGGGGCAGGGGGGAGAAATGAACCAAGCCTTGTATGCACATATGAATAATAAAAGAAAAATGAAAAAAAAAAAGAGAATCCATTCCTGAAAGGAGAAAGAAATCCTAGGCAGGAGCCCTGTAAATATGAGGAAAAGGGGATACCATAGGCAAAGCTTCTAAGGAAGCCACAATCTCTAAACCATATGGAAAATTCCTCAACATCACACTGAATTAAATGACACATGTTCATTCCAGACAGCAAGCAAGACAATCAACTGGAATCTAAGAGAGAAATATAACATTTGCTCATTTTTAAGTCTTCTTTGAAAATTCACTTACTTTGTTTTTGCATATTAGTATAGTAGTTCCAATATATAACCTGTAAGTATGTATCTAGATGTATATTCAAAAAATTTACCTATGAGGTTAGTGATAAAAATTGTGGAGGCCACCATTTTACAAGGTTAGAAAAAGAAATACATCCAAGAAGCTGAACAAAAAGTAGAAAATACAGTTACAAAGTTCTTGAAATCTATAGTCAGTTCCAACTTCACTATTTAAAATGCAGGTACTGTTGCAGGGTAGAGTGCTGACTTAAGATACTTATGTTAAAAACAAATAACCCCCCTACACACCCAAAATCCAGATAGTTTAATCAAGCAAAGTTACTATATACTAGATCACACATTTCTGGCAACAATATGGCTTATGTCTTACCACTTTTATTTCAGCATGCAAAAGCATCATTAAAAAAGTTATTATATATAGTGTGCAATTAAAAAAAGTGTTTATATCAGACATATGTACCTAAATTATCTTAACCACAGGGAGGAAGAAAGAAATGAAAAAGGTCTGGGGGCATGGCTCAAGTGTTAGAGCACTTGCCTTGCAAACGTGGAGCTCTGAGTTCAAACCCCATTATTGCCAAAAAAAAAAAAAAAAAAAAAAAAAAGAAAAAGGCAGATAATAAGAAAATAGATGAGGATCCTTTTTTTTTTTTTTTTTAAGATGGCACTGGCGTTTGAACTCAGGGCCTCACACTCTCTAGGCAGGTGCTCTTACCCCTTGATCCGCTCCTTAAGCCTTATGGATGAGGATCTATACCTACCTAGTAACAGGACACACATAACAAAATATAGCCAAGGATAGCATAGAGACAATTGAATATCCACACGCAAAAGAATGAAGTTAAGTTAGGCATGGTGGCACACACAATTTATAATCCCAGCACTAAGGAGGATGACACAGGAGTGAGTTTGAGGATCAATGGGCTACATAGGAAGATCCTGTCTCAAAAAATAAATTGAGTAGTAGTCAGGCATGGTGGCACACACAATTTATAATCCCAGGACTAAGGAAGATGACACAGGAGTGAGTTTGAGGATCATTGGGCTACATAGGAAGATCCTGTCTCAAAAAATAAATTGAGTAGTAGAGTGCTTACCTAGCATGTATGAAGCCCCATACCCAATTCCTAGCACCACAAATAAAATTTAAAATTTTAAAAAAAGAATAAAGTTGAACATCTTTCTCAAACCTCACATCAAATATGGCAAAGCATCAGAATAGAGGTTTCTTCAAAGAATACAGAAGTAGCCAATAAATGCATACAAAATTATTCCACATTAACTAGCTATGAAGAAAATGCAAATCACAACCACAATGTTACAGGGCATAGTGACACATGTTTACAGTCCTAGCACCTGGGGAGGCTGAAGCAGGCAGAATCTCAAGTTTGAGGTCAGCCCCGGCAATGTACCAAAACCCTGTCTCCAAAATCCAAAATAGAGAATCAATGGTGTTGAGTTAAACACACAGTATTGTCTTACAACTGTAATACTGCTTTCTTAAAAATAAAAAATAAGAATTTAAATATGGTTATTGTCATTTAATCATAGCTCACATGCTTCATGATTTGTTTGGCAGGTACTGGGGTTTCAACTCAGGGCCTTACGCTTGTTAAGCGGGCACTCTACCACTTGAGGCATAGTCCTCAGCCCTTTTTTGCCTGAGTCATTTTTCACGTAGGATCTTATGATTTTGCCCAGAGCTGCCCTCAAATTGTGATTCGTTTACATACAGCTTCCCTCATAACTGGGATCACAGGTACAGGCAAGCAAGTCTGGCTTATTGAGATGGGGGTCTCGCTAACTTTTTTCCTGGGCTGGCCTGGAGCAAACAATCTTTCTGATGCCCACCTGCCAAGTAGCTGGGGTTATATGTGCATCATGCCCAGCTTCCATGGTTTGACTGTATCTCTGATCTTTCTTAGAAACCATTTTTCCACTCTCAAACTTCTAAAACAAACAACTATATGGCTATTAACTTTCCAAAAATCACAGGGAGTCAGAACTTCCCAGTCCAAGTCTGCTATGCTTTGAATATGTGCCACAAAAATTATGACCTGAAAACTTATTCCCAATTCAACAGTGATGGGAGGTGGGGCCTTGTGCATGGCTCTACCACTGAGCTGCATCCCCAGACTTCCGTATTTTAAGACAGGATCTCGCTAGGTAGCTCAGGCTGGCATTGAGCTCACTTTATAGCCTATGCTGGCCTCTCATGATCCTCCTGCTTCTACTTTCTGATAGCTGGGATTAAACAGTGTAGCTCTCCCGAGACTTTTTAACTACCGTTTTCCTTTTTTTTTTTTTTTGGCGGTACTGCATTTGAACTCAGGGTCTCACGCTTGCTACACAGGCCCTGTACCACTTGAGCCACTCCGCCAGCCCTCCTTTTCTGTTCATCAAAAGAAACACATACATATCCAAGGAACTCTAATTTAGACTCTCAATCATATATAGTATGTTTTGCCTTAATTTCTTCATGAAGTACCCTTTCCATATCAATTGGACAGACTACTAAGTCTTCTGTATAGCTACCAAACTTTAAGTAGATCTCAACTAAGCTGGTTCTACAATTTTATTCTCATGAGTATATTTTTTTTCTAGATTTTTAAAGTAATTTTGTTGAGCATATTACTGAGTCACTTTTATAGAAATTATGTGTAAATATAGTCCATAGATCAGTGCTATCTAGGGACATGTTAGAAATGAAAACTCTAAGCTGGGTGCTAGTGGCTCATGCCTATAAATCCTATCTACTTAGGAGGCAGAGATCAGGAGGATCACCATACGAAGCTAGCCCTGGCAAATAGTTCATGAGCTCCTATCTCAAAAAAACCCACAAAAAAAAAAAAAAAGTTGATGGTAGCCCCTGAGCTCAAGCCCCAGTACTTTAAAAAAAAAAAGAAAATTCTAAGACACTGATCCAGACCTACAGAACCAGAATTCTGATGGTAGGGCCCAGCCATCTGTGTTTTAAGTTTAGTAACAATCAATCTAGAACTTTTATTGGACCTCACTTGTTTAGGTTCTTAACTACTTTGCAACAAGTTATTTATTTCCCCTCATTATCATTTAGAACCTAAGTAATCTAAAGCTCAACACAAAAATCTAAATTATGCAACTAAGGAATCAGTAAGAAACCATGAAATAACCACACAGAATAAACCTGGTAGGTATCTTTTCTCCCAAATAATCACTGAAGTTGAAAATAGTGTATATTGCTGAGCGTGGTGGTACTTGCCTATAGTACCAGTACCTTGGGAGACTGAGGCAAGAGAATTGAGAGTTTGAGGCCAGTGTGGGATACTTAAGTGAGATCCTTTCTCAAAAAAAAAGAAAAGAAAATGGTACATACGTAACAGTTTTTTGTTTGGTTGGTTTTTGTTGCTCAATACTGAACCCAAGCCTCATGCTAGTTATAATGTTCTACAACTGAGCAACACTCCCAACCCCAATAACATTTGCTTTGCTTTTTTTTCTGGTTTGGTTTTTGGCTATTTTAAGTGCAAAACTATTATTTAAAGGAAAATGAGCTGGGTCAGTGAGTATGCTGGATTTCCAAATTCCATCTCCTAAGCAGCAATTGAAAAAAATTACTAGGCACAGACCTGTAATATTTCAGAGGGTGAGGCAAGAGGATCACAAGTTCAAGGCCAGCATGGAAAACATAGTAAGATGCTATGTTTAAAAAAAAAAAAAAAAGTAATAAATTACTTTCATATTTTCACATGAAAAAAAAAAAATCTCATATATCTCTAATGCTACAGTGGTTCAGTGCTCCTGTGTTACATGTAGATAGCAATCATTTGAAATGTGATTAGTTTAAATTACAATATACTGCAAGAGCAAAATAAAAATCTGATTTCAAGATTTATATAAGAAAGGTAAAACAGCTCATTCATAATATTGTATTAATTACCTATTGAAATATATACTAAATGTTAATGATAAATAAAAAAATTTTTTTGAATTAAGTTTTTGGTTTTTGTGGGGCTTTTTTTTGAGATAGGGTATATGCAGCCCAGGCTGGCCTTGAACTCATCATTTTCCTGCC